TTTTTCATTCTCATAAAATTTCCTAATTATATTGTTTGATTATATTTGAACAACAAAAAAAAAAAAAACAAATGATAAGATCGCAAACATACAAAGATATCATTTTGATAGAAAAGTAAACAATTTAATTACATAAATAAATCAGAAAATAAAAAGAAGAAAAAAGAAAAACCGAGAAAACTTAAATTTTCCATTCTCATAAAAAAATTAATACTATAAAAGGTAAAAAAAAAAAAAAAAAACAGAGAACTTTTTAAAATCTCTGTATTAACGCTTTGAAAACAAAATATTTGACTATAATTATTAAAAAAAATTAATAAAAAAATTTTAAATTATTGCTTAAAAGCTAAGACAATTTAAATTATTGATAAGAAATTGCTAAGACTATCCAAAATTATTTGGCAAATTTTTGAAATTTTATTACCAAAAAAATATCAAATTTATGACATTTCAAAAATTAATCATATTTTAAAATTATATTACTCGAATACTCAAATATAGCTGTTCAAATTTGTTGCACAAATTTATTGCAATTTTTTTTTTTTTTTGTACAAAAAAAAAATAAACATGTCAACAAAAATGAAATCGAAAAAAGAAATAAAATATACAAATTTCATAATTATATCAATAATTAATATCGCTAACTAATAATTAGTTTATTTTCTTAACTTTTTTAAGTCTCTTCTATTAACGATTAAATAGATTTTAATTTCCATGCAATTAATTTTAATTAATTTTTCTTTTGAAAATTTTTCTTCTCATCAATACCAACAGTTTTTCTTTTTCTTTTTCTTTTTTTTTTTTTTTTTTTTTGAAATTAATTTAGTGTAAATTTTTTAATTAGCATTTCGTGATTATCAAATTTTTTTTTTTCTTTTTTGCGATAAAAATGTAATCAACTTAGGGGCAATTTCATTTGGCGTCTTTCTGGCGCCCTAAAAAGTAAAAACCGATCTTTTTTCTTAAATTTCTTCTATTTTTTCTTTTTCAAATACTAGTAGACATTTTGTTTTTATTATGAGGAATAAATAATTTTATGAAATTGAAAAATGAATTTTAAGAAGAAATTATCTATGAAAAAAAAAAAAATACAAACAAAATTTACTGCAAAGATTTAGAAAACTTGAATTAAAAACAATAATATTTAATTCAAAATTTTTTATTTTCCATATAATTCAATTTTTCAGAAGTATTTTAATTTAGTTTCTCTTTTTTTTTTTTTTTTTTTTTTTTTAGAATTCAGAATCTGAACAAACAGAGATGATAAATGAAAAAGTGAAAAAAAAAAAAAGAAACAAAAACAAAATGATCAAAAATGAAAAAGGATAAACAACTATTTGATATGAACAAATTACTTTTACTTTGTTGAAAAGTAACAATCAAACATCTCCTTATCACTGTAGTAAAATTATTTTTTTCACAAAAAAAAAAATGGTACATTTGTATTTTACTGATTAAGTCATATCATTTTCCAAATAATGCTGTGATAAGTTCTTTTTTCAAAAAATATTTTAATTCAAAAGTTTTGTTTCTGAAATTTCGTAAGAATTTCAAAGTAAAAATGATAAATAAGTCATATTATAACTAAAATATTTCACTTACTTATAACTTTTCGACAAAAGGAAATTATTTGTTTGAGTATATATGTATATTTTATAATAAGAACAAAATTTTTTAAGGTAATAAAAGTACATTTTGTAAATATTTTATAATAAAATCAAAAATTTTAAAATAATAAAAGTATGATTCTTTGATAATTCTCATTGAATGTAACAAAGAACATTGAAAGATATTTAAGTTCTTATCACTTTCTTTAAAATTCTTATCAAACATAAACAACAAAAATGATATATCAAAAAGTTTAATTTATGCAATAAATCATTTATTATCAACTGATAACTATCGTACTGATAAAATAGATAAAATAAGCAACAAACACTATGAATATTAAATAATTATCTCAAAGAAATATTATATTTGTACTTATGAATGATAAAGCAATGGCATACAATGATAAGCAATGATTAGATTAGATGATAAATTGCAATGATAGTATCTTCTTAATTTTTTTTTTTATCACATTGAATTGAAGCTTATTTCAAAATTTTTGTAATTTTAGTTTCTACTGTTATTATTATTATCATTATCAGTATTGTTATAATTATTAACCATTATTTTTATCAATTATTAGTTATTAACACAAGAAAAACTGATAAAAATTTGAAAAAAAAAAGTCACCAGCAGCTAATAAATAGAAATTAAAAGAAGAAAGAAAAGGAAATGAACCGGAAATATATAATAGCAAAACTTGTTAGTAATCAAAAAAATTTTTGAAACAAAAAAAAAAAAGAAAGGAAAAACGGAACTTTTATTATTTTGCAATGTTAAAAGTATGAAATTTTGCTAATTTATCACAAAATTTCGTTTCATATTTTTTACAAAAATATTACAGCAATGTTGCATAATAAGAAAATATTACAATTTTTATTAAGAATAAACAAAAGATAAAAAACTTTAATAATATACATATTGCTTTTTCGTTGCATCTCTTTTTAAATTTTATTTTTTCAGAATTTAAATTTTACTTTTCACAGCACAAAATGGTATAAATCATTTCTTATTGGTATTATTGCTTGCATAACGATTTGATAGATTATTGTAATTATGTTTGTGAAATCTTAACCTATGATTAAGATTAAAAGCAAAAAAAAAAAGACAATAATGTAATGTGAACTTGAATTTTCAGTTAATTTTCTTAAAAAAAGTTTCAGAAAATTTACCTGCTTTAATTTTACAACGTTAATGTTTTGTAGCAAAACGATAAAAATAGCAATCAATCATTTCTATTTATCTTTTTATGAAATTATTAAATATATCGCAGGAAATCGATGAAATGATTAAATTGTATGTGATTAATAATCGAATGGCATGGAATCATTTTTTTTTTTTTTTTCTTTACATCAAATTTCCTCGAAAATAAAATTTATTTAATCATAATAAATACTTAGTAATTAATAATAAATAATAATTTGTGCAATGTAAGCTGTACTCTATTCATTGCATATTTTTGTATTATTTAAAAATTTCTTTTTTTTTTTTCTTTCATTCCTTTCAACTTTATTTTATTATCTTTTTGAATGAATTTATTATTTACTTGAAAAGATATTGAAATGAACGAAGAAATATATACGAATGACCAGAAATGAAATGGTAATTTTGAAAAATAAAGGAAGAAAATGCAATTAATAAAGCTGATTAAGCTTAATTTTTTTTCTAAAAGATGAATTTGTCTCTTTTAATACCAATATTTAAAATTATATTATAAAAAATAAAAAGATTAGAAATGAAAAGAAGCAAACTATTATTTTTAATGAAACATAAAAATGCTATAATAAAAGCAATGATTGAATTAAGCTTGTTGCTGTTGTCATATTAAGAATCAACAGATAAACAGTCTATAGTTTTCTCCAAAATAAACAAAAAAAAAAGAAATGATTTGACCCTTCTCAATTAAAAAACTAATTTATAACTTCTTCCTGTCTTCCAAAATTCTTTGTAATTTTTTTTTTGTTCAATGTGGATAAAGTAAAGAACTGAAATATAAAACTAGAATCGATGGATGAAAGTAAAAAAGTTTCGGTCTTTTTTGCTCATTACAAATTGACTCTTTTTTTTCTTTTCATTTTCAAAGAATTATGAAGATCGTCAGACCTAATTGACAGATTTGCTTTGTAAACCTCGTCATTTTAGTTTTTCCTTTTCTTTTTTTTTTATAGAAACATACAAGTTTTTACTCCGCTACGAGGTATTAAAATTAAAAGCAAGAAATAAAAATTTAACAAACTTAAAGGATATAAAATGAAGGCTCTATCCATTATATCAATTTATGAATTAAGATTGAAGATAACTCTAAGCTTCGAAAAAAATACTTTTTATTATCGTGCAAGTATGAGAACGAAAAAGCTATGATTACTTCTTTGCCGTATATGATTTACAAAAAAAAAAAAAAAAAAAGTTGTATACGGAAATTAATTTTAAAATATTTAAAAGCATAACCATATCATGATCTCTTTTAATCAGTCAGAATCCACACAACGCTCGCTCTATTTCAAATTTTTTCATATGATATTATTACATCAAGTGTTCATATCACTTTATTTCACTCTCATCCTTCTTTCGATACATTTATGCATGAAATGTTTTAATAAAACAAAAATAAAAAGAAAATTAAAGAAAACAGTGAGGCCAAATATTTTCACTTCATATTTGCCAATTATAAACCCATTTCCTAGCTAAATAAAACCTAGTGAATTTGTGTATTATATACTGGAGCGATTAAGTGGAAATATTATGAAATATCAAGAATTTCAAACACATAAAATTAAATTTATATTATCTCACTTCAAAACACTACTTTCTTCCTATTAAAGAGAATCTGTAACAAAAACGTCCAAAAATAATTCCAGGAACTTTGAAGGTTTTCCAAATTTATCTTTCATTTCATATATTAAGTACCGAAATAACCCGTAATACCAACCACACAGTATCAAAGATGAACGGCTATAAATGCTGTATCATCGCTCATAATATTCAACTAAATTTAATATAAAACACTAAGCAACTGAATGGAATCCCCTTTTTAAGTTGATAGCTGCGAAAAACCTATGAAATCAGCTGCTAAATTCATTATATCTACATGCACATATAAAATCAAGAACAAGTTAACACAGCAATGGAACCAAATTTTTTGTACTAGGATTGGTTAGACGAAGAACATGAAAAGATCTAGCTTTGAAAATACCCATTCGATCTACCATAGAAAATCATCGGAATGATGAAGGAGATTAATCACTGAATAAATAAATAAATAAATTCCGAAAACTAAATACACACATCACTTCTAATCACTTTTTAGACTATTTCATACCAATAAATTATTAAATTAAAACAAAAGATAAACTGTACAGCTTCTGTGCATTTTTATAAAACTGAAATATGATTTAGAAATTGGCTGGTGCAGCTACAGGAGCTGGTTTTTTATCGAAACCAGTAAGGAGTTTCTTGATTTCTCCAATTGCTTTTGCTGGATTCAAATGCTGAAATCAAATAAATTTGTAAAATTGCCATATAAATAAAATTTATTTGGACAACGTACATTTATTTGATCCTCTACTCCTCTACGTGATCTACTTCATAGCGTAAGTAAGAAATAAAAAACATAAAATATTTAACAAGCAGTTAGAAAAACGTTAGCATGTAGAAAATGTAAAAAGCCTTGCAACATCTCTAATTAACTTACATCGAATAAAATAGATAATGAAATTCAAAAGCAAATGATTAACACTTCCACTACTAAATTTGGAAATAAAATGTTTTTAATTTTTAAATTAATTTTAAAAGGAACAATCAAAGTATACCTTCGGACAAGTTTTTGTGCAGTTCAGGATAGTGTGACATTTGAAAACACTGAAATGATCGTGTATTTTCGACAGTCGCTCTTCAGCATAATCATCTCTCGAATCAATCATCCATCTAAAAAGTTATGTACTACACAAATAGAAAAAGAGAAGAAATATGATAGTTCTCATCAATCAATATCAAAAAAAAGAATGCTTAATTTTTAGACGCACAAGTGACATTCAGTTATAGATCAAATATCAATATAGCAGTCATTTGTTAAATAACCTTCAAATACATGTCTGAGAAGTATGATCAATCGCTTATAGTCATATTTATAAGCATAATGCTTGTCTATATGCCATTTTTAATCTATTGCTTCCTTCTTATTTACTAATGGTTATTCCATATTTTTGACAAAATATATGATGGTCGAAGATAACAAAATAATATTATCATAAATCTACACTGTACTACAGTTAAGAACAGCAAAACTAATCCAAATTTATTCTAAAACTTGCTTTAAAAAATAACTGAAAATGTTCTTATGACCACTGTTAATTGTTAAAATGTGGACTACGATCGAGCTCGATTGATTTAGAAATCTCCAAAAGAAAAACACTCAAATATTTAGAAAGAAGCGAATCTTGCAGAAAAAGCAGACCTATAAGACTGCAGAAGAATAGCTGGTCCCAGATACTTGTCAGCATTCCACCAATACGACGGACAGCTCGTGCTGCAGCAAGCACAAAGAATGCATTCATATAATCCATTCTAAACAAAGTGGTTGATAAAAGAAAATGAACAACAACATTTCTAATTGCACTACTGATTTAGTAGTAACTAGCAATACGAAGTAACCAAAATTTTAAATTTGCAATTAAATTCTCATCTGCTAACCAGTTTCTCGCGTTCTTTCTCTGTTTGGAACATTTGCTTCTCGCCAAGTACCAATTTGTTTTTCTTCTTCAGCCATGGTTCAATCGAAGCGTACTGTGCGTAAAACAAGTTCATATCCGGGACCAAATCCTGCAAACTGACAAACAACATCATTGACTATTTGACTATTAAAAATATGAATCATAGAATACACCTGAGCTTCACTTGAAGACTATACTTCAACAACTTATGCGGAAAAGTTTATAATATAAATTTACAACATTTACAATAAAAGACATGTCATTAACGAGACACAGTTCAGCTTATCATCAACCAATTTGATCAATATTCCATACCTTATATAAAGAGAAATAGCAATTTTTAATTCTCAAAAACGGTTCTGAAAGATCCGATTGCGTTCTGTAAAGATAGAAATATCGAAACACTACACATATGGGGCCATAAAGTTAAAGATGATGAAGCAAAGTAGTGCCTTTGGTCTTACGTGGAAACATGTCACTTTGCTCCGACATTCGGATCCAACATATTACATCACTAATTTCTACAAATACTCCTCGCTCTGATCAATGATCCATGTTATGATTACAAATTGTTCTTAACAAACAGCTACAAGCTACGTCTAAAACTTACTTTAATGACAAACATATGTGGCAACGGATAGATTTTAGTGCTCTTGCTCGTATTTTCATCAATTTTACAAATGCATGCTAAGGTGTTTTCACCATTGATATTCATAGCACATGAGCCACAAATGCCTAAAAAATTTACAGTTCATTTAAACTCCACCTTTTTTTGAAAATTGTTTCCCTTATTTTGAGAATTACCTCAGTGAACAACGAAATATGAAACCAGCAACATTATCTTATTTTTCATCAATTTTACAAATGCATGCTAAAATTCTATTTTTTTTGAGACGACGAGTTTATTTTTTTTTTTGAGACAGTTTATTCTTAAAAGTACATGCAACATACCTTCACGACAGGAACGACGAAAAGTAAGAGTTGGATCGATTTCATTTTTAATTTTAATCAGTGCATCCAGAATCATCGCACCACAATCATCCAAATCGATATCATATTTCTGAAGTAAAAATTACAAAAATACATGCAAAGTATACAACTGCAATTATGTTATTATCAATTATTACGCAAGTGAAGACCACCTTACCAAATCCTTATATTTGTTAGCGCTAATAAAATTTTGGTTTTAAATTTAGTTAATTCGAATGAGCATTTACCTCTTCTAAAACTTTTGTATGCTGCCGATATAATTTGACACTAATATTTATTTATGATGAAGCCTGGATAATATTTTTTTATATTTTGCAAATATCGAACAGCATATGCTAAATTTATAAACGTTTGCGGATACAACATGATAGAATGGCAGGGCTGACTAATCATTTCGAAGCATCTGCAAAAATGCAGTATCCCACGGAATCTCATCATTTTAGTCACTCTCAAAAGTGCTATCCCCGATTACTTCCGATTTAGTTCAGTAAAACAGTTCAGTCTTACTTGTAACTGCGGTTGTGATCCGGGCTTCTCCGGATTGTAACGATATATTTCGAATGTTTTAACACGTTTCCCTGTTGGTGGTGTTGATGATGCGCAACGTGCAATTTGGTTTACAAGATTTCCAGTACGACAGAAATTGGATGCACACCGAATCATCACTTTTTATAGACTTAAAATAATTTTGTCGTTACATGTACTAGATTAAATGATTGCAATATAATAATGAAGAAATGAAAGAGCGAAACATTCAACTTCATATCTAGCAACTACTGACTGGAATACAGAACACGTAAAACAGCGTATTACATTGTTATGTCGACTGAAGTAAAGTTACAGGCATTTTACAGGAAGCAAAAAACATCTTAAAACATAGGATTTGAACGCATAATTTGGAAGCATCGATGTTTTGCTTCAAGTATACTTTAGAAGACCATGATATTAGGAGGTTCATTAACGAGGAATAATCGAATAACAAGAATCTTTCACTAGCGATAACATGAACAAATCTGTTATAATCTCATATAGCTAAGATTCAGACTATCAGATTTATATATGATTGCATGTAAGGTAATACCTTGATACGTATGACATGCGCAAATGTCTGAACGCATAAAAACAACAAAATGAACCGAAAAACACTGGAATATCATATGAAATATTTTCGAAAACAAAAGATCACTTGAAGTAACTAATTGAAAGAAGTGAAGAGGAGATGTGACAGAGGAAGTGCTCTATGGACGGAAGAGTAGGCACGCTAGCGCGAACAAATATAACGAAAGAGAAGGACAAGTGCACTCAAATGCACGCACGCGCGCAAACAGACGCACAGACATAGAGAATCACTCTCACCTTTTACTCTTCATTACAAGACTGCACTTTAAAGTACATAACGTGCATGCAGATGTGCGTAGACAGACCCACAAACATACATACATGCATGCCTGCAGAAAGCATGCATTATTATGCATATTCTCTTATAATATACAAACCACTATTCAATGCATCCTATATTATGTTTATAAAGGATTTGAGGAATTAACTAGGGGATATAATATAGATTGGCATCAGCGTGTCATTTCAGGTTATGGCGTGTAACGCAACTGGTCCGCTTACAATGTTTCTTTCTTTCCAGCTAAACTGATATTCGTATATATGCATGAGGTACCATTTCAAGATTTCAATCATCTTTCCACCGAAAAATAATTTAATATCAAATGACATGAACTTTTTCATGGACACGTAAATAGCTTAATAACAAATAGAGTGAACTTTTCCGTGGACTAACGAAAGTAATTTAATAGCAAATGAAATGTCATTTTTCCCGTAAACGGAAAAGTCTTTTTTCCGGAAATTATACGTAATGTATTATTACACGAAAGACCGGGAAAATCATATTAATTCGATAGTTAGTACAAACTAATGATTTCATGGAAAAGTTATGATTGTATAGACTGGTTACCAGTCTTCAGTGTATTCCGGGACAAATCCACCGCGGCAACCATTCCCGCGCACATTAACGTAAGTCATCCGGTTACTACCTGACGAAATTTGACGGCTGAGTCTGTTTCGTTATGTGGTGTACGGTTATAATGAATATATCAAATTATGTAATTATCAGTTGTACTGCTTAGAATGCTCAACTTATGAATAGCATTAAATAATGACTATACTTGATTTCCGGAAAATTTTCTGGAAAATTAAACACTACTGAATACAGCTTTCTAAAGATTTGTATTCTCAGTTTAAATTAAGTGAAATGTAGGTGAAATGAGAAAGATTAAAAATTTTGCTAGATTAATTGTTAAATTCTAATTGCAGTGCTGTAGTGCTAGTATGTGTAGTAATGTTAGTAGCGTAAAATGGAATATTTTATTAGCGGAATGTTCCATATAGCTCTTTTAAAAAAAAGCACTGATTTGTTATTTATGAAGTCAGCTTTTTTAAAAAAAACGGTATTTCATCCTCTTCTAGAATATTCGTATGTTTTGTTGGGGTAATATTTAGAGGAAGAAATGTATACGTAAAGAGATGGTATGGTTTTTGAAGAGAGATTATTCATATGATTATGTACTTAATATTTGTTATTTTGTGCAATTAACGTTTGGTTTCATATTTAACCATCAGATATTTTTATAGTTTACGAAATTGCTTCCCTGTTAAGCGCTATAGTTCTCAAATTTATGAACTTTGATTTGTTCATTCTTTTAATTGCTAGATGTTATTCCTAATTGTAACTTCATGCCATTATAGTAATAAATTATACTAACGACAATTTCAGGTACATTGGCCTGTAATTAGTGGTTATTTATATTGATGACATCCCATGATAATTCGGTAATCATTCCGGAAGCTGATAATTTAGACAGAAGTTCAGTGGAACTTGTCACAGCTGATGGAATTGATGATCATCATGAACCAGTACAACAACATCAAGATATTGATGCTTCAGGAATGAGTTATACTGCAGTACGTCCTCTTATTGTAAGCAACAAATTTAAAAAAAAATTATAGTACTTTATTTATGGTAACACATCTCTATATGCGTTATGGAGCGTTGCCTGCGATAATTAATGTACTTTTATTAGTTCTATATATTCTTAAGTCATTCCTTGAAATTCGTAATTAATATGACGTGTCTCAGCAATTCATCTAACAAGCTCTAAGTGAAATTAGAGCTTGTTAGATTCAAAATTTAAATTGAAATTTTTGAGCTTAAGAAAATTTCAGCATATTTCAGGTTCCATTGGAAGTGTTGGAGGTAGCCGGTATAGATATAGAGAATTCAGGTGAATTAACAGAAGATCAAATAAATACAATTATGTCTCTGATTGAACCAAATGGTGCAACTCAACAGAATGAGTTAAAACATGAACATATTGATATACCGCATTCTTCTTATTCTAATGGTATGCCCAGTTCTTCATCCGATGCTGGAGATCGTTTAACATTGTATATTCTGGATGATGGCTCATTGAAACTTACGGATGCTACACTTCAGAAGGAATATTTTGTATGTTCTTCAGTTCCATTATTCATTAAATAATTATTTTTAACTAACTTTACCAAGACTTTAATCCACTTAATTGATTTTGCGTAATGCTTCAATAGTTTAAGATCTAATGATTGAGAAATATCACAAAATTAATGTTTATTTTGAATCTTATCGCTATTATTTATTAACATCTTACGGTACATTTGAAATTTCAGTTTACACCGAGGGACTTAGCGTTGCACAATATTGATGTTGACAATTTAACTGACGAAACTTTGCAACGAATCATTCAGATGGCCATGGAATCGTAAACTTTTATATATCTGTTTGCTGTGTTTTATATCGGTCTGCTGTGATAAACCCTATTGCTTAAGGATTTAAATGTATAATTAAAAAAAAAAAAAACCGAAGTATACAGTTTAAGAAATAAATTCTATTGTGAGGGAAGGGTTTACTATTTTCAAAGGTGCATTTTTGCTTTTTGAATCGGAGATTGAAGTGAAAATATGTCATTTGCAGAAATGAAGTGGTGACAACAAAAAAGCGAAGAATGGAAGATGTTGGCTGTGTGGAATTTTCACCAAATTTTTTACCTGTATTTTTTTATTCTCAAAAAATATTTCCTTAGGATTTGTATTCACATTTAACTAAGAAATTAAATAATCAGTCATTTCAGAATACTTCAGTGGAACCGCCAACATCTAGTGCTTCAAAAACAGTTCTTGTCAGTGGTAAAATTTTAGTATTTTTATTTATTGGATTTTATTGAGTTTACTTTATTGCTGTGTTATCGAAATTGGTTTCACCAATCGTCTGAATTTGTTTTTTCCTGCATTTTAGTTTAAAAAAAAAAAAAAAAAAATTTTGTTTTATTTGAAAAATAAGGGTGCTAATGATAATTGTTTCAGAAGATCACCATGCTGAATCACAACTATCTTTAATAGGCACTGAAGTTGAAATTAAACGAGATGGTAAAATATATTCGGCTACAATTAAGTACTGTAGGCAAAGTGGAGGATATAAAGTGCAGTTCAGTGATGGCCATTTCGAGTGGGTTAGTGAAGATGAAATGCGATTGCTTCATGGTAAGCTTCCATAATTTTAACACAATTCTTATTTTCAATATCTTCTGTTTTATTAAAGTTGGAGATCACCTATGGTAAATTGCTTTTTTAGACGAAGGTCCTGGGAAACGTAATGATCATGAATCATATAGTGAAAGAGCTAGAACTTTATCTTCTGAAGGTGTTGGTGAAGATACTATATCAAAAACTATTAATGGCCGAAGATGCATTTCCCAGATTCCAGGTGTGTATCTTCTATTTGATGCTCATTTTTTTGTCTTTTAAATTTGAAATTGATGGTTAGTTCCAGGTATTAAAGTTACTCCAGCGAATGGTTGTCATAAGCAGGAAGAGCCAAATTTTTGCTGTGTTGTATGCGATCGGAAAGTTTATCAGAAGGTTTTTTTCTTTCCTGATATTATTATCATAATTCTAAAATTCGCTGATTTCTTTAATTCCTAAATGTAATTATGTTAAAGCTATGAAAAGTAACTGTTCGTAATTGAAAAAGTAACTAACTGAACTCCATATAAGTAATAATTCTACATGATGAATAGGCAAATCATAAATGGAGAAAAGTAATCCAAAAACGAAGTGGTATAATTTTGTAAGAGTTGTGGTTACATTGCAGCAGCATAATAAACATCATGCAGATTCTCATCTCTTACTTTAGTTTTTTATGTTTTTTGAACGTTAGATTTCAAACGATTTTTTAAAAATTCATTTACAAACATTCCAGGAACCACAATACATTGTGATACGAATTCCTGCTTGCGATAAATGTGCTGATCAAAAAATGATTTTGCTAGATGGTGCCACAAAAGATTGTGAAACACAGACGTGTATCAATCTTCTAAAAAATGATCGTATTGCTACTGCTACAAATGATGCAGAAAGGAGAAGCTAGTTCAGAATGATCGATTTTGGCAGTTCCTATAAACATTCAGAGAAACGTTCTCGTCAAACATTAGGTGATGTAAGGAACATATTTATTAAGCACAAAATATTTATTGGAACGAGCATTTTTGACGTTGAGTTGCTAAAATTGTTTATGATTATCCTTCCTAATGCATTTCTTTTACAAAACATTCTTTTAGATTATAATATCTGGTAAAAAAATATTACAAAAATTCTGGTAAAAAAAATAAAAAATATTACAAAAAAAAAACGAAAAAAAATTTGATCGAAAGATGGATTCTATTATAAAATCAGATTTTTTTAAAGGAATATACAGAATCTTTTGGAAATTTGAGAAAAACACGGATCGCCTTGTTTTTTGTAAATAATTTACCAGAATAGAGTAGGGAAACTGTTTTATATATTTAGTTGTTTCATTTTTTTTCTTCATTTCTTACATTCGGGAAAGTTATGCCGATGCTTATTCATGTTGAAGTTATGCCGAAGTTTGGCCAGATTTTCTATTTCTGATTCTTTCGTAAGGAACTGTCCCAGAAAAACTGTATTAAATATGCTTGCTTCAGATAAACATTCAAATCCCTTATTTACTTTAATTTTTAAGCTATAAATTTGAAATAAGATTCGTATTCTGAAAAAAAAATCTTAAAAATATCATTTTTTTCTCATCAGAAATTGTTGTATTGCATTCATACATTCCCCACTTTGAAAACGCTGCATAAGAAGAGAAACTTCACGTTCGTTTTGTGCAAGAAGTGCCTCACGATGTATGTTTCGAAGTAATTCTTTGTTACAGATTAGTGATTCAGGTGGCAATTGGGATATCTTTCGCACATAAATTTCTGCCTCTTCTCGAAAGGTGAATGATGGCATCACTTGACATACCAGGTTTCGCTCATATGCTTCTTGGGCGGTTAATTTTTTATCAAAAATTAAAAGTTCTGATGCCTGAAATAATTTGAGGATAAAAAATATGTGGTGAATTTACTTCAATTTATATCATTTATTGTGAGGCAAAAGTTTGTAGTTTTGTCATATAGTTATTTGATAATAATCTTGAGTTATGATATAATTTGAAATGAATTTACTTCAATTTATATCATTTATTGTGAGGCAAAAGTTTGTAGTTTTGTCATATAGTTATTTGATAATATAGTTATTTGATAATAATCTTGAGTTATGATATAATTTGAAATCATTTTTCATTCATGTTTGTTGTAAAATCACTTATTTATTGGCTTATTAACTTATTGTTTATATCATTACCAACCTTACTGTGTCCCATTATCATTGGGAATGTATACGATGAACAACCTTCCGGAGATTGTCCCAAAATTGTGAACGGTGTACTGAATATTGCCTAAAATTTTGATTTATATTCAGGTGAAAATTTCCTTAAATAATAATGGTAGTAATAAAAAAAAAAAAAAAAAAAGAAAGAAAAACAGTTGTTAAAATGAAAAAGAAGGTTAATTTTCAACAAACCTTATCAGAAGCAAGAACTAAGTCAAATAAAGGTAATACAGTAACAGCAATACCAATTGCAGGACCATTTATCAGTGCGACTAAGGCTTTTTTATGGTTAATATAAGCAGCAACGTATGAACTGAGTATTTGACTTGTTTTAGAAATCATACGTGGTATGTCCTCGAGACCAGTGACTTCAGTGAAATTTGATAAATCGTTACCGCTACAAAAATACTGGCCTGATCCTGTCAATTAAAACTTTTAGTTCCTAGAATGCAGCAATTTCTAACAAAATAAAATTGACAAAGATGTTTGAAATTTGAGGAATGCTTGGAGATGAAAATAGTGCTATGTTGAATGCTACATGGCAAAATTACCTACCGATAAATGCAGTCACCATCGTATCAGTTTCATTTGCATAATTCAGGGCATTCGTAATACCATCATACATCTAAATTTTATTTTTTAAATTCGAAATCAAATCATTAATATCAATAATCTTTTTCGATATTTAACTAATTTTTTATGCACTGTTATAATATTTAAAATGCGTTGATTTTACATACATCTTTGCACTATTTATCAACTTTACTTAATTGTTTAAACTTAATTAATTTCATAATCAATTTACCAAATTATTCAAAATATACATAGGATGATTGCTTACCTCTAAAGTTAACGCATTGTGTTTATTTGGTCTGTTAAGTTTTATCCATAAAATTTTATCTTCAATAATGATATCAAGACCAGGTATAGATTTTAGATCATCAAAAACTATTTTAGATGAAGTTTTCGTTGCAATTGTATATAGTTTATTGACTAAATCGATGTACATCTTTTTTGCTTCATCCTAAATATTTACAATTTTATTTATGATAAAAAATTACAAATTTCAAATATATATAGCTTATTCGAAATGCAAAAAAGGAAATAATTGAGAAAGTATAGAATTTAATAAATATTTAAAAAGAAATACCATTGATCTTCCTTTCAGTTCTCTCCAACTATCATATTTTGCTTGTGACGATGATAATAATAGTGGTCGTTTACTGTCAATGTCACCAATTGTTGCCTTTCAAATATGACATTGTTATATGAATATTTGAAATTAAAGAATTAATAAATTTTAATTAAAAAAATAAAAATAATATTTTTATAATGATAAAATATTATTACGAACAGAATTACTTGTTTATAAAGGCCATAAAGTTTCAGTTTCGTTGATACATCTTGTTTTTCCGCTAATTGTTTCACTTTTTCGACGGCTTGTTGAAATTCCGCTTCCCATGATTTCAATCTATATTTCAATTTCAAATTAACAGAAGAAGTTCATGAATTTAATTTAAAGAAATGTCACATTTTAAAATGAAAAAAAAAAAACAAAAGAAATTGGGAAAAAATTATTTAGCAACTTTTCATGAAATATTCTTCCATCAAGAAAAATTAATTATAAATAATCTACAAAAAAAGAGTAAAAAAAGAATAGAAAATAGAAAAAGTTATTGTAAGTTATCAATTCAAATATTCTTAAGAATAACTTAAGAAATCCTTAAGAAAATATATGATTTTATTACTTTTACTACCTAATTAAGATATTTTGTCACTTTCTTGACAATATTGACAACATTTTAAATGAAAGTCAAAATGTCTTTTTTTTAAAAATAAAAAACTCTCAAATATATTTCGAGAATATTTACATGAGACTTAAATCATTTTTTTCCCCTAGCGATTGATAAATTTAATAATTTAATTGATCGCTTATTTATGACATATATCGTAATTTAACAAATAATTTAGCGTAAGAAATATCTCAGAAAAAAGAAAAAAAAAATGAAAAAAAAACTTACCGAAAAAAATTTTTATGTAGTGCAAAGAATTTTGTTGATTGTAAATGCAATGATAATAACGAAGAACAATTCATAAACATAGTAAAATAATTTTTTGTTCGAAGAGAAAAATAAAAGAAAATCTTTTTTAAATGATAGAATTAACCAAAATGTATTATTGATTGCATTGAAAATGTTCATTACGGTACAAAGATCACATTGTTCTGCGATACAATTAAATTTTTTCAAATGAACATTGAACATTGATTGCTGAAAGAATGAACGATTGATAATTACGATGATAATTTCATGAAATAAAATTTCTTCACTGATAAATTATCATTAATGGAGAAAATTTTCTTGCTATAAATTATCATTTTATTAAAAATTTAATTATTGAAATGAAATATCATTAAAATTCATTCCCTTGTCCTAAAGTACTTAAAAATTGGATTTGTTAGTTCGCAAAAGTAATGCACAAATATTTTTTAGATGTCATAAGATTAAAATAGGTTAATTTTAAATTGCACTTTCCGTTTAGTTGGTAAATTTGTAGAAATATGTGACTGTCTGGTTTTTTTAATCTTTTTCTCGTACAGTTAATCTTTCGAAATAATTAATTTCAAATGTTTGAAACTGATAATGCTTGAAAGAGAAGATAACTGATTATGATAGTTCAAAAACTATGTTTGATTATTCAATTCGTATTAGAACTATATCTGATTACTAGATATAAAATAGAAAATATTTGATAAAATTTATTTAACACAATGATTATTTCATTATACACAGCTGAGAATAATGCATTGGATTAATTTGCATATTAGATTAGAAAGAAGAAAACAAATGTGATCATGTATATAATCATGCAATGCATTTTCAGTATGCAAATTCAAATTCAAAGTGCTCAAAAAAGATGACATAGATGGGGAGGGAGAGATCTTAAACAAAATAAAGTTTAACTTTAACAGAAACAAATTTGTTTCATGTACATTATATAGTTGAAAAACTTTATGCACAGAAGTACAGATTAGAAGAGAAAGAAAATTACATAATTATGCAACAAGTTTCTTCCATTAATATCATCGTATATTCACAAAAATACAAAGATTTCTATCTTCTATTAATATAATCATCAAATATTCACAAAGTAACATATGCAATACAATTTAACAAAGGACAATGAAGTATAAAACGGCGAAATATAATTCCATAGTAAAAGAAGGAAAGAACTTAGACATTTATATTTAAATGTTTTTACATAAAGGTATTTTAATATTCTTACAAGGTGACTCTTTTCATTTTTTTTTTTAAAAAAAAGGAATAACAAAGTATTAGAGCACTATTCACAAAATCAAGATAAGCAGCCTTCAGAAGTGAATTTATTGAAGTCGAATGACAATTTCGGCAAAATTTTCCTCCTGTTCGACCTTAACTTTTTGCTTTGCCAACAACTCTAAAATTGTTATTATTTTTTAAAAGAAATAAAAAAATATGAAAGCAAATCTTTTAATCTCTGACGCTATCAGCAAAAACCAACATATAAATAATGTAGACAAAATTCAGGACAATGTTATAATATTATCTTTGAAATGATATTATTAATCATTCAGAATCTTTCAGTTCAATAATTATAATTTGTAAAGCAAAAATTAAATAAATAAAAACACACCCAACAAATTTGTAAAAGCTTTAGCTGCAAATACCGCAGTGTGACCACGAATTAATTCCGAAAAACATAGAGATGAAGCCTCGTGAGAATTGAGAAATTCAGTTATCAATCTGCAAAACATTATATCTAAAATGTAGTTTCAATTTATATTTATTAAAAATAGCTTTGAGTTCAGAAATGAAATCCTAGATAATTGAGAGAATATCTGAGGAATGTTAATGTAATTCATTCTAAAACCGAAATTCATTTTAGCTGATTATCAATGATATTATAATTAACTGAACTAAAAGTATCCTTAAGCCATTATGTATTAACAAATAAAAATAATACCCAAAAAGATCATGAGCGCTCTGTGTTTGATAGTAATTTGGAAGGGAACTATCATCTGTCTCCAACGTACTTTTCCTCTTACTAACTTTCAACTGAAATCGATCCTGCATCACTGAGATCTTTGGAATATTCCGCTCATTTTGATATTCTTCTTGACGTATTTCACATTCAGAATATCTCTCATCTATAATAACTCTTTTCTTTTTAATTCATAAATATGTACATTTAATGCTTTTAAGTCATAATAATCTAGAATAAAACCATAACTAATATAACTAGAATAAATCCATAACTAACACATGTGGTTTACTTCAATTATGAGAAAACATACCAACAAGAATATTTTCAGTGCTACTTTCCAGTTTCGTCCCACGTAATTCAGATTCTAAAAATTATAAATTAAAGTCGAAAAAAAAAAAAAAACTGACTAATTTGTGACTTATTATAAATATGAAGCAGAAAAATCTACTATAATGATCAACATTAAAGATTCTGTTACACTTACCAATCGTCAAATTTGAAAATAAATCTGTCACTCGAGGTTTTTCCGCTAACAAAGTGAAACTGTCATCCATACGCTACAAATTAAAAAGTGATATTATCAATTATAAATTATGCAGATGAGATATCTAGGATAATTCCTACACTTAGATTGAACTTTAGTAAAACTTTTCTTTCCGAAAAGGACTTGCTTTTCCAAAAGTTCTATAATTTATTAGCGATTGCTATCAATTTGAGTAGCATATTGTAATATGAAAGTAGCAATAATTGGATATTAGAATACTACAGAATGCTTATTTTAGAAGATCTAAGCATGCGCAAAAAAAATCGTTGAATATTGACCAGTTCATTGCGGTCAGAATTTAGTGTAATCTTAGGTACGAATAAATTAATCGAAATAGAATAGCCATAAACAGAGAAATATCTAACGTCTAATTATATGATTATCAGATGATATGTTTGAAATAATTGGGTAGTTTTTGAAACATAATAATTGATAGCAATTACTTAGATATTCGCAATTTTTTTTTCTTTCTTCCTTTAATTTTTTGAATTTATACCTCCTCTTCAGCAGTTCTTTCAAAAATGGTAGCCACGGATATTTTCATTTTCTCATCAACTAGTCGATTTTCGCTAGAGGCAACAGGTAATCCACCATCTGATCTAAGCTGTGATGAAGGATCGGTAGTGGTACGCTGAAATGATTCGACATTTGAAACAATTCATATGATAACAGTTGCAATCAACAAATAAGAAATATTTAAAGCAAAATCTTTGGAGGTATTTGGAATATTGTACTAAAAAAATGCTCTTGAAATGTCTAATTCTAACGTATTACAATTTTTTGTTCTTTTTTTTTTCTCAGAAGATACTGTCAAAAAAAAAAAACAGTTCTGGCATAAAATTATTAAATTAATCTGACGGGAAATGTTGAGAACTGATTGTTGAAATAATGCTGATATCCTACATGAGTAATTTAGAAATTATGTAATATAATTAATTATTACTACATACTGTGCTACCAAAAGGTGCCGTGGAAGTGGTATTTCGTCGTCCTTGCTCAATATTCTCCATCACTGGTGTAACAGTTTGTCGTTCCAGATCTTGCAGATTAATTTTTACGGATTCATGTGATGTAGAGTCGGTTAATGTTTCTCTTCCATCTGAAAAATGATGTAACGTTCGCATTGGTGGCGCCTGCATTGGTTCTAACTGCATTGCATCTTTATACTGAAGTGGTGGCTCATCATATTCCGGTGCTGATATCCATGCATCCAAATTTGACATAGGATTTTTCGCAAATTCTGCAACAAATTCTTATGAAATGTTTTTTTCTTTTTTTCAATTTGGAAGATTAAATGAATCGCGTAAATTCTTATTAAAAGATTTTTCAAATTTCATAATTCTACATAAAACCAATGTTTGAACCTTAATTAATTTTTAATTTTTTGCTTATAGCAATGAATATTGTCTAATAATGAGTTCTAAAGTACAATAAGTTATGGCTTCTTTTAGTAAATCATAACATTATAACATTTCATGAATATGTTTTAAGGAATACAATAAATAATTACAAAAACATTATCACTCAAAAAAGAGAAACTGTCAAGTTAAAGAGAATCACATTAAATTAAAACAACAGAATCAGTGACAAAAATTTCACCACGTAATGTCATTGGACGAACATCAAATAAATCTTGAACTGTTACCGCTCCACGTTTTGATATTTGAGGAATCATTTCATCACGTGTATGCAACAGGTCATCAATACAATCAATCTGGGCTTGAAGTTGTGCCTGAAACATTTGAGAAATATTTAATTTGTTAAAGTAATTTTTTCGATTTTATTGGAAAATATAATAAAATCAACCTTATTGAACATTGTTAATTCATCAATAATGATGCCATGCTTGCGGCGTTTCTTTTTTGGAATTATGATTTGTGAATCATGAACATCACTCAATTCAAGTATCTAAAAAAACAAAGTTGAATTAAGGTAACGAATTCTGAAATGATATTTCAAAAATTATCCCTTAAATATTACTACTAAAGAAAATAAACACTTATATGATATTGCAGTAGTCGAAATGAATTGTATCATAATTTAAAGTATATTTTCCTTATTTTTTTTTTCCTTCGTAACTATGTTGAATGAAATTCTTGGCAAGGAAAGCTAAAACTAAAAGATTCATATGTCTATAAATTAAATCGTTAAACAAAAAATGAAGCATAATTATCATATAAATTTACTGATAAGCATGGTGGATGCTTGATTTCTGGTTCTTGTAAAGCTTCATCAGATGTTAAATCGTATTGCCTCTCTTTACGAATCTCGTTTTCGTCGCTTACTTCCATCATTTCAAATGCCTATTTTATAACAAAATTAATAATTTTACATCATAAGCAAATCTTACTTTTTCATCTATAATAAAAAGAGATTTTTACAAGAATAGAACTTTTTTTAATTTTTCTGCATTAGATCATCTCGATCTATTAGCATAGAAAACTTTTACTTCATGTGTCGCTTTATTAATATCTGCCTCATTCGCTAATGTTTCAGGAATTATATTCACAATTTCTTTGGATTCATTTATGCTTTTTGATTTTCTTTCAATATGCTCGCTATCGTCTTTCAAAAGAGCTTCCCTGATAAATAAAATAAAATTTGCAATTAGAAAAAAGCTTACTGAAATATCTTATTAATTAATTAAATATCTTATTAATTAATTTTACTGAAATATCTTATTAATTAATTAAATATCTTATCAATTAATTTTACTGAAATATCTTATTAATTAATTTTACTGAAATATCTTATTAATTAATTATTAATTAATTGATTAAAAATAAAAAAAGAGTTACAATTATAGAAATAAATAAACTGATAGTTTAATTCTTTACAAGATCTGAAAGCTGATAATATTCTTACAATTAATTAAAAATGATCTAATTATGAATGGAATTTTTAGACAGTTAATTACATTTGTTGAGCTTCAGCTTCAGTTAGCGGTCCAAAATCATCATTAAACAGAGTGTCAATTTCTGGAAGTGGTATATCTTCATGTAATGTAATTGCGCTGTAATCGAGTACGATCTTCAAATGTTCACTTTCCTTTAAAATATAAAATCATTTTAAAGTGAAATAAAAAAGTTTATATGTATACATCATATTTTAAATAAAGTTAATGAGATGATATTACTAGAAAAATTAAAAAAAATTTTGCATTATACTTCATAAAGACTAAATTCTTAGAAATGACCAATGACAGAAATAAAATCATAAAAATGGAAGAAGTTCTTACAATAGTCTCAAATGAAGAATCCAAAATAAGAAAATCATTTCGTTTTGGTGCACGTTTCTTCCGATCTTTCTTACCTTTCATAGTAGATCTGCAACAGTTCAAAATTTATATTTCTAAAGAAAAAAAAAAGAAAGAAAAACGCAATATTTAATTTTATTTCCTAAACATTATAACAGAAAATAACGGCCTAAATCAGAACCAAAAAAGATAAGAAAATTATTTAAAATAAAAGAAAAAAAAACACACTCATCTTCATTCTCATATTGATAGCGGCGTATAATTGGAATAAATGTTTCCATATCTCCTGAATTATAAAATATTTTCAAACTAATATTCATTAATCACTTTATGCAAAAAAAAAAAGTGATATTTTCCAAAAATCTAATTGCACAAACTTACTGCATAGAATATCTCCGCGTTTTTGTACAATTAATGCAATGCCATAAGAAAGTTGTGCAAGTAGATAGAGAGAAAATTTAATTTCACCCGGATTACCATTTGGTATTTTTCCAATAAGAAGTTCGCTGAAGAAAAAAAAAAAAACCAATCAATTACTATTCACAAAACCAAACAATAAAAAAAGTTACTGAAATACATTCGTATCTTCCAGCTCTTTGTACCATAAATTCAAATTCATATGATTTTTGATAATATTAATAAACAAGAATAAAATAATAATAATGATTATAACCTAACCAAGCCCTTTCTATATTTATCTCTAAAATAATTTTTCGTGGTGGTCGCCATTTCTCATCAAATACAATTCGCCTGAAAATATGTGAAACTATTGATTTAAATGTGTCACATCTCTTACCAGTTGTAAGAATTCGCTAATAAAGTAAGAATTCATTGAATCATAAATTCATATGATATAATTAAGCTAATATCAATTGAAAAATAAATTCATATGATATAATTAAGCTAATATCAATTGAAAAATAATTCGTTTAAAGATGAAATTAATCATATATAGTTGAAATTTTATGGATTACTAAACCATAAATTCATATTTAACTTTGATAATACAATTAGTATAAAATTTTAACAAATATTATTAATTTGCTTTCATAACAGTATTATCATTCTTATATTACTACTAATTATTGCTTTTCTAAAACTAAACTCTGATCCAAAAATTTTAATGAATTTTAATTTTCAAGTATTATTATCGTTTTGAAATTAAATTCTTCACAAAATATATTTACAAAATTATTGTGAAATCAAAAACCAATTAAGCATTAATTAAAGATCAAGTATTTCAAATTAGTTTTAACTATAACTATAAATGTTATCATTTACAAATAAAAATTCAATAACAGTACAATATACTACAATACGTAACTTTGTTTAGAATAAAATTATTAAATGAACTAACCAAATGACAGATAATGGTTCATTCCTTTTCATCAATATGGAAGGTATAAAGAACATTTTATTTGAAATATCCCGTAGTTCTGTTGATAATTAACTGTAGATTATTAATAATGATAGATTATTAGTAAGAATTATATCTAGAAAGAAATCATTTTTATTATAATTAGTAATTCCTATGACAAATAATTAAAATATGAAGAAATAATACAGTAAAATAATTTAATTTATTGAATATATCTCATATATCTCATCTGATTCATATAATCGATTATTTCATCAGAATTAAATAATAAAACTTATAATTAAACTTAATGTGTAAGTATTAAGTTGAGAGAACATTATAGACTGAAGTAAAAGTAAAGGCAGAGTTAAAAATCAATAATATATATAATAATAATAACAAAGAAATTAAGTGAAGCAATATTTAGTTCAAAAAATTAGTTTAAGTATTTCATTTCAATTTAATCCCAGTCATTTATTTCATCTCAACAGCTAATCAGTAATGAGTTTAATTTATTAAGTTTCAAAGAACCAAATAAAAAAAGAAAAAAAAAAAAAACTCAATTAAGATTGTAATTAACTGTATTAAATTTCAAATAAATTGCATTAAATTTTAATTCAATTAATAATTCAACTAAATCAGTGGTATAAGTAATAAGTAATATTGTAATACAAATAATTAATATGTTACAAAATCTATTATTATTATTATTATTATTAAATTTGTTTCGTTTTTTTTTTTTTTGTTGAAATTGCAAAGAAAAAAGAAAACTACAAATTAATAATTACAGTTCTTTAATTAAATTTCGAATATGTAAGTAAAATATGTTAAAAATTTTAAATTTCAAATCAAACAAAAAGACTCAATGAAGAAACCAATTGCAGTGAATTTGAAAAAAAAAATTGCAACAAATTTTGATTTAATTAATAACTCAATTAATTAATATGAATTAAACTAAAGATTGGAATGTAAAAGATACAAATAAATTAGAAAGGAAAAAAATGGGAATAGTTACCGTCCCTCTCTCTCTCCCTCTCTCTCTCTCTCTCTCTCTCTCGATAAGCAATGAGTATTCATACTTGGTTGTAACCGCCTCCATTATTACTGTATTATTTTTAACACCATCCTTTCGTTTATAATTAAGCAATCAGTATGTGTTTATTATTAGATTATATGGGAAGGGAAATCTTTAACATGATCGAGAATCCTCGAGAATGAGTTGTTACAGTAAGAAATGAGTAAAGGATGAGATGATTACTGTAACCTGTAAAGAATGAAGAAATTATCAGGTGGCAATCATTGATAGTAATAATTTATATGCTATTTACAATACGTAATTAATGAATAGAAGTAAAGGTGATAATAATTACTGTAACCTGCGGAAGGTAAGGAAATTATCATGTAGTAGTAGTGATGGAATAGGTAATAAATAAATGAATGGATGATGATGACTATTGTAACCTGTAAAAGGTAAGGAAATTATCATATAGTAGTAGTGATGGAATAGGTAATAAATAAATGAATGGATGATGATGACTACTGTAACCTGTAAAAGGTAAGGAAATTATCATATAGTAGTAGTGATGGAATAGGTAATAAATAAATGAATGGATGATGATGACTACTGTAACCTGTAAAAGGTAAGGAAATTATCATATAGTAGTAGTGATGGAATAGGTAATAAATAAATGAATGGATGATGATGACTACTGTAACCTGTAAAAGGTAAGGAAATTATCATATAGTAGTAGTGATGGAATAGGTAATAAATAAATGAATGGATGATGATGACTACTGTAACCTGTAAAAGGTAAGGAAATTATCATATAGTAGTAGTGATGGAATAGGTAATAAATAAATGAATGGATGATGATGACTACTGTAACCTGTAAAAGGTAAGGAAATTATCATATAGTAGTAGTGATGGAATAGGTAATAAATAAATGAATGGATGATGATGACTACTGTAACCTGTAAAAGGTAAGGAAATTATCATATAGTAGTAGTGATGGAATAGGTAATAAATAAATGAATGGATGATGATGACTACTGTAACCTGTAAAAGGTAAGGAAATTATCATATAGTAGTAGTGATGGAATAGGTAATAAATAAATGAATGGATGATGATGACTACTGTAACCTGTAAAAGGTAAGGAAATTATCATATAATAATCACTAATAGTAGAATAAGTAATAAATGAACAGATGATAACGATTACTGCAACCTGCAAAAAGTAAGCATGCATTTTTTTTAACAATAATAATAATCCATTAATAAATAGCAACAATAATTTTAATTCTCAATCATATAACACTAATTTTTAAGTCAAAAATTAGTAAAATTAATTGCTTAATTACATTCACCATTAGATCACCATGAATTTCTTTCTGTAAATTGATTTTGCACTTATTTTAGCAAATTAATAAAATTGAAATTAATTTTAAGTAGAAAAAAAATTACCTTCACGTAAATGTATATTGTTGATTTCCTGAGTTGTTGAATTATTACTAAGAATATAACATTAAGTAAATTGTTTCACGGATGCCCGGAATAGTACTGTGATATGATAAGAAAATAGTAACATATCACAATTCAATTCAGGTGATCCGAAAACCAATATTTTAAGTTGTTGAAATTAGAAAATGAAAAATATTTGATAGAAACAAATAATATATAAATAATATTTATACAAATAAAAAAATAATATTTATACAAATAATATAAATAATATTTATATGGGATGAAATATGATGATGATTAGGGCGTAAAAATACAAAGAAATGGCGGTTTATGTCATGATTAAATGGACATTAATATAAAAAGATAGGAATAGAAAGAGAGAGAGAGAGAGAGAGACTCTTTCTCTTTCTGTTCCTTCAAATGCAATCAAATTACTTTTCTTCGATTCTCTCAGCAATGGACTGCTTCTATTGCTATTGAACAATGAGCGGGGCGGTCTAGTCGCACTGCTCGAACGTGCAATTTTTAAAAATGACAATTTTCCGCTTACAGTAACCCAAGGGACTGACATGTATTTTAATAAAATGAACGTATAACCTTTAAGAGGGAACGAGTAAATATGTCAGCAAAAAAATATGTATTAATTTCTTCATCTTGCTTCCGCCAAAATAAGTATTTGCCTGAGCAATATACGATAATGTGACATTAATGTAGTTTTGAGAAAGATTTAAAAAACTTTAATGAAATACTTCATCTCAATAAAGCATATCCGATGTAACTTGATAAGTGATAGCTAATGATTCTGACATCACTTGATAAGGATAGCTAGTGATTCTGATATCATTTGATAAGGATAGCTAATGATAAAAATTAGAATGGGATAGTACTATGAGTAACTGTAATTAAAATAGTTGAAAAAGAATTCTTCCTCAGTATTTAAAATGGTTTATTTCAGATTGATTAATGGTTTTTTTTTTTTTTCAAAAATTTTTTTTTGCTACTTCTAGTAATTATTTCTATTATATTTTTCAAATCAGTCAATTCCGCAAGAATATTTGTAGCATAGATAACATAGTCGGGAAATTTTCCAAGAGTGATAAGTTAGTTAGCAATTAGCTACTGGGATGATACTATTTCACATTAACACAATGGAAGTAGTACAAAAATGATGGAAATTTATTGATAATTTGTTTCAGGGATTGTTTAAGTGATATGTACGACTAGCTGTGGCTTAATTCTTAACTTTTAGTATATACAGTGATAAGTTAGAAGTTACTATGTGATTGTAGCACTTCTTTTTCCAATTTTTTCAAAATGTTAAATAATAAAAAAGAGGATATTTTATGAATGAATATAACATACTTGATAAGATTTATCATCCTGAAATGGATGATATTGAATATCTGAAATTAGTTAATTTTAATTTAAACTAGTCTCTTGATAGGATGACATCATTGGAGAAACAGTTGAATAATCTGCGTACAGCAGTTAGTGGACAACTTGGAGTGGAACGACCACATGTATCATTGCTTTTTGATAAGAAAGAAGCGAGCTCATTATATGTGGAAAATGCATTACAAATCGGTAAGACATTTTTTCTCTGCACATTTTTCAAAATTTTTATTTAAGTTTAAAGTTGACTGTGAACTACAGAAAATTCAAATATTTCTACTGTGGTCAATTTTTTTCATTGACTTCTCAAATTGTACATCTGTATGCCAAATATGTCTTTTAAGTGGCACGGTAAAGGAAGGAAAAAATGAACTTTTATTTGTTTATTTTTATTTTACTGTTCAAAGACTTTGAAAGTAGTCCACTGGTAATGCTACTAGCAGTTTAGAATTTCCTATTATTAGTTGATACGATACGACAAGTTTTTGCATTTCTTTGAAGCTTTGCAGGCTCTATTTTCTTATATTTCAACATTATTCAACTATTAAGACCGGATAGGATATTGTTCTAGTTAGATATGATTTTTTGCAATCAGAATTCCAGTGTTTTTTTTCTAGTTTTTCTTGTTTTTAATCTCTCTCTTTCAATCTCTTTTTTTTTCTGATTAGAGTAAATTGCAGGGCGTGTCGGACTAGCAGGACTACGAAAAGTTGATCCGAAAATTGCCCTCAAAGAAGAGGACCTATTTGACGATGCAGCGGTTAACGTGCAACGTGTACTTCTGACAAAAGAAGAGAATATGGTGCTTGACGAGAAACTTGAAAGAATGATCATACAGCTTTCTGCTTACTTGCATCATCTATCAGCTAAGCAGATCCTGGAGTGGTTGATATTTCAATTTCATGTAAGTGTTATTCCTGATGTTACTTCTCTTTAACGCGTTATTTCGTGAATTCTTGAGCTATGCCATGTTTTCAATCAAAAATTTGAAGAAACTGTAATTGTTAATTTAGTTTATCTTAAGAATAGTTCATATCTTTAAAAGGAACAATACGATCATTTTGGAAGGAAAAAATCGTTCCCATAGAAAGCAATAAATATTATGTGTCACTAATTAATCTTCAAAATTAAAAATTAAAGCGTCTATTTGATGAAAATGCGATCCAAAATGATTTACGATTTGCTTATGTCTCTCTGGAGGTTAAAAGATGAAATTGCTTGCAGAATATTTGATCTTTAAAAAGTACAAAACGTGAAAGTTGTCTCAAAAGATATTAAACGAAACTAGAAAATAAGGATTCTTTGGGAGAAAGTTATGGATTCAGTGTCTTGTTGAAATTCTTAATATTCAGTAATACTTTGTACAAAGGCAATCTTATAAACGTAAACAAAAGTTTCATTTAGTATCTTGAGTGATTCAGCAAATAAAAACTTTTTTTACGATTTGCTTATGTTTCGATTTTCAGCAGTTTGTTTTAGAAAATTCATTTTAAATTTAGGTGCAAAGTTTCAATGCCGAAACATTATTTATTGCTTTCTTACCATATCACAATTCGAATATCTTTGGGCGATTACTCTCAATACTCGATTTAAAAGGATTGGAATATGACTGGGTTAAGGGTTATGCCAGCTCAGAAGCACCTATTCCAATGACAAAATTGGTCGTCATTTGTACTTCAAGAAATCACTCGTTGCTCAGTCTTATACATAACCATATTGAGCGTGTCAGAGAGGCTAGATTTTCATTTATTTTCTTTATAATTTTTATGGTTTATGCAACTCTTTTTTGCTGTGTAAGTGGTTCAGTTAGGTTGATTGAGATTTGATCAATTTTAAAGTATTTCAAATACGAATAAAATTAATTGAGAAATTAATTAAAAAATATCTGTTACAGAAATCTAATTTGATACTGGTGCAGTTAACATAAGGTGGGAGAGATAGATCTACATAATTGAATAATCTCTTTTAGTTTTCTTCCTGTCTGTTACACTGTTAAAAATGATCAGAAGTCTTACCAGCAATGTTTGACGTCCACTGTGGAACTCTTTACATACAGATTAAACGATCTAATTAATGAGAGTTTCAAGAGTTTAATTCTTAAAAATAATTCTTGGAACAGTGTTCTATAAAGGTTATCAGTTTGTTATGGAAAATATAAAGGAATTTAAGGAATCTATTTTATCTGCATTTTACTTCAGCTATTCAATGCGAAGTTTGTTGAAACAAAATTGCCACATTTATTCACTTTTTATGCTTCAATCTGTGTACATCTTTTGGCAAAATCCGATGTAACGGATGCTTTAGTTTCGAAAATGTTGCCTTTCCTAGCCAGAGGCTTAACGTAAGTTCATATATTTTGATTCATTTTTATTGGCAAAATCATGTATGTTTTATAGTAATTGAACCGCTAATTAAAAGTTATTTTTGTGGTTTGAATTATATTCTAAGTTTTTACGATATGGGATTGATCAATAATTTCATTACATTTAGTAGCTTCCCGAATTATATCTATATTTTTAAAAATTTTTTAAGATAAGTTACTTCTAGGTCAGATTTAGTTTCTCTGCGGTTGGCATGTCTTACTGTAATAAGCCAGCTTTGCACAAATGTAAAATTGGTCTCCAACAAGCTCGATCCAATGATTAAACTTATCTTACTAAAAATGGACAATTATACGATGAAGGAATCAATTGACACTTTGGTAGTCATTTATCAGCGTCAAGAAATAACCACTTTTCCACTGACGTGAGTTTCTTTATCTTTTCCGTGTTATTACATTTGAGATAGTTTGGGATTTTAGTGTATTAAGGCAGTTAAATTGGTGTGTTAGAATTCAGCGAACTCTCAGTGTATCTCATAATACTGTCACTTTTTCATGTTTTTCTTATAATAAAAATTTTTTAAACTTTCAGATTGAAGACCGCTTTAAAAATTGCCAGAAAGGATGGATCCCTACATATTTCAGAATACATAAATTCCTTATTTTCTATTACGGATATGCGGAAATTTATTGGAGCATTTGCACATACTTTTATTCCATTGCTTTCAGAATGTGGTAATTTCTTACTGTTTAATTTTTCTTCCATTTTATAGTTCTTATTGACTCACTCAAGCCTGTATTTGCATAGGTATACAATCTTCAGAGTCTGTGTTATTCGAATAAAAGAAAAGTGAAATTTTTTTTTTTCAAGTGAATTTTCTTTTTTGATATTTAGAATGTGAGCTTTGGAGCGTTTTATTATTTATTCATAGATAAGGAAGAAAAAGTGATGGAATTGTGCAATTTCTGCATCAATTGCTTGGATTTAACCGCACTGAACGATTGCATGTCCGAAATAATCCTGAGTTTGGTATTGGAATTACTATCAGAAGTGAATAATACTGAGAAAATTTCGGATACTTTTTACAAGCATATACGTGCTTTGGTATTTAGGTTTGTTTCTTTTGCTTGATTTGGATGAAATATTCTCATTTTTTGTAATGTTTTAAAATCCGATTTTCACTTTTCTCTTTTATCTCTTTTTTCTTTTCTGTATTAATATTAGTTAAAAAGATACATATTAATGCAGTACCGTCATTTAGTGAAAAATAATGGAACCATTATTTTTCGCTTTTAGCCAAAGAATGGTTTTAAGATGATTTGCAGTTAATTTAAAAATATTATTTAAATTGTCAATATGGTGTTATGTATTGTTAGAAGATATATTACTCTAAAATTAATAATCTTTAAATCAAGTTTCAGAATACATAAATACTTTCTGGCATAGATTCCAACTGTTTTAGTTCAATAGTGTTGTGTAGCATAGGCTTGTATAGTGCGTATTATAGTATGATTTTAGATTTCCGAATGCTTTTGCAACAGTCAGCTCGGAGTGGAAAGTGCGCGATCAGAGCGTTTATAATATGTTGCTGAAAGCCTGTAAATTTGAACAGTATGAGGTATTACTGTTAATTTGTAAAGCATTTATGTGTTTAATTTTTCTTATTTCTCCCTGATTTCGTTGTCTTCATTATTTCAAAATTATTGATTAACTAATTCACTTTTTCACCTAACGGGTGAGATTGTAATTTACTTTTTTAGATAAAAGCATTCGAAGTGGTTCCAATAGAAAAAAAAAGGCGACGTCGACGCCGTAGCAGCAATAAAAGTAGTACAGGTGAAGAAAGTAGTCAATCTTCATCTCATATTTCCAAACCTGCATTGAAAAGAAAACGGCCAGAAGAAATTAAGGTAATAATCGGGATTTATACTTGCTTTGATTATTATTTATCGTTAACTAGACACTTGCAGTCTAAAATTTTGTAAGTGACTGCTAAAATATTTTTATTGATAGTGATTTTTAGCAAGAGCAATTGAATTCAGTTCGTGAACCGCCCAAAATCATATTCAAAGGTGATCCAGTAGATAAATTGATTGATATAATTAAAGCTGAAGACTGGCCTCTTGCTGAAGCAGGTCTAGAGGTAGGTATTTTGTTTTCGTTTTATAGTTCATGTGAGCTCTAAAATTTGCTGAAGATAGTGTCGTTGTAGAAGTTCAATATTATTGGATATAGGAATGTAACTTAAAAGCATTTTCTAACACCAAACTAAAAAAAATGAGAGAAATCCATGTTATAATCAGTGAATCGTGAAATCTATCTCAACATCCGAATTGTTACGCTGCTAACAAGTATATGATATGTCTTTTAAGTCCATTGTTCTTTTAGTGGCATTGGAGCAGTTAGATGAGAAATTAAAATTATGACAAAATGATAGCTCTGTATTATTTTTATGCAATTCAGGTTTTTGTTTCAGAAATTAACTACTCCTTCTTACTTGAGAAACCGGATACCGTCTGACTTTGAAATTTTTTTCTCAAAAATGGTCGCTATTGTACTAGCAGAAGGAGCGCGTCTGAAAACTGCAATAAAAAAGGCTTTATCACAAGTAAGTCGAAGAATTTGTCAACAATTTAAAATTAAGGACTGGCTAATTCACGGTTAGGAGAATTAGGATTGTTTTTGAGAGTTCTCATTAATCTTACTCAAATTCTGATAATGTTGTCGAATAATGGCCCTCAAGAAGTGTGAAAATGTTTTCACTTTTCACCAATCTAGAATTTTCGAACTCAGCTGTTTTTGTACTGTTTTCAATTTTTTATAGCTGCCGATGGATTCTGATTTTGCACTTTCTTTACTGAAACCTTATACGGAATCGAAGAATGCTAGGCGAAATCGTGATATATGTCATTGGTCTTGCTTTAAAGACGAAGATACTGAAAAATTTGAAAATAGACGTCTTTTTGTATTGGAGTTATTGCTCATAAATCATAATCTGCAAGCATCGGCTAAACTATTCCATCAACTCTATGAAATTTTGAAGGGGTGAGTCATATTTTCAACATCAAACTTCTTTAAAAATACTCAGTATCGAAAAATACTTTTAAAAGTGATTTTCTGAATTTTCTGAAATGTCATTTGTGCTCAATATTAGGTGACCTTAGTTTCATTTTTGATAACTAGAATGATTTTCTTGGAATAACTATGAGATACATAATGATCGATTATGAAGTAGCGGAAGGCATTATTGGCCCATTTTTTGGTAGGAAAAGAAAGTTGTGCTCAAATTTGATTTATAGAGTTATGCAGAAAACTGACGAAGACAGTCACTATTTGGAGCAGCTTATTATCAATTTCATCGTATCCTTGGTAAAAAATCCTCGTCAGTTTTATTTTATTTTTTTTTTCGTTTTTTATGAATATCTTCACAACATAAGCCGAACAAGTAAAAGCTTGTGGACAATATTATGTAAAAGTAATGTTTTAACTTCAATACGAAATTATATCTGATTTCTGATGATCTTTTCAGCTCTATTTTCATTTATCTTTGTAATATTTCTTATCGTTTCAGCTTAACAAAACATCATTATGCTATTTCATGTAATTTCTGATTATCATTTCTCTTTCTATCAAGTATCAACTTACAACACCGTTTTATTTTTATATAAATCGAATTGTACTTTTAGGTGGTTATAAGGTGTTAGCTGATGATTTACAACTAGATACAATTGTTGATATTGTTCGTCACACTCACAATCATCGAATTCTTCGAGATTGCTTGCAGCTGCTTACATGTGCTGTGACTGTTTCGCCTGTAGGTTTCCAAAGTTTATTATCAAAACTCTCTCTCAAAAAAGAGAAATTTCAAAGGTTAATATTGAAGGGTTAAACCAATAGGGATTTTTGGTGTAATTCTGTTTTGCAGAAAAAAGTGTTGGCACATCTGATGTCTGTTTATACATTTATGGGTGATGGAGTACTAAAGAAGGATAACGATTTAACATTGAGTGTAATTGAGGAGACGCTGAATGTGTTATTTTCGACTGTTATGAACGAAAAGGTTGTGTTCCTGAAGTTTTTATATTATGGGAGAAACCTTCCAACGAGAAACTTGCATAGAAAAAAAATTCCCTAGTAAAAAATTAAGAGTTTGATTCTATATTCATGTATTGAATTTTTTTGAAAATTTCAGGAATCTAATCAGGATTATTTCCAGGATCAGTCATTTCGCGAACAACTAGTAACAATTTCTCGGCTATTTGCAGCATCGATTACTGATATTCCAGCACACCGACGTGATAGAATTTTACGTGCTGTAGCTCGATCTGCAGGAACGCATTATCTTTGGGCAGTGATTGCCGTTCTTTTTGAGCGGTACTGTCTGAATTGGGCTAAAAAACCAGAAGGTTTGTTACAAGTAAAATATATCTTTGATAAAAAAGTGTGAGTTCGTATTTCTTGAATTTATATTGGATGATATTGCAAACATCCAAAGTGGAATATAACATATATCTTTTCATATATTTTATATATAAATATATCTTTATATATGTATCAGTCATTTTAGATTTGTCACTTTAGATTTAAACTGTTCAGTTCAACCTCGTAAATATTAAACGTGTAGTTTGCTCATCAGCTTGTTCCATTTCGCAGTAGATAGCAGATTTCAGGTCGAACTTCAACTGAATTATATGAGGAAATGTCAACTATAATGGTATCGGAATATGATGCTGTGGAACAACTTTCATGCACAGCAAATATGATAAAATATATTATCAAATTAGGAGGTGATTTCTCAGTTTATGAAAGCTCAGCTGCAACCGTTACTCAGAAGGAGAATTTTTTGTTGAAAATCTTCGATCGAACGAAACATTCAGTTCAAAAATTGCGACATTATCGTTTTGCAATATTGGGTTGGATTGCTAGGCTTTTAGAAAGTGATGAATTTAAAACAAAGGTAATACATCTCTTGCTTAAGTAATTTTTTTTTTTTTTTGTTTTATTTTTTTTTTATTTTGAGAATTTCATGAGTTATTTATGCGAAAAAATAAAGCTTTTGCAGGTCACAAAAATCTGTTTTCTTTATTGTTCGGAATGAAATAATTGAAAGTAACTGTTTCTTTTTTTTTCAATTTCAGTTAGTAGCTGTTGGTGATAACTCATATAACAGACTTCTTGAAACTGCTAAAGTTCTTCTGTTTTGTTCCGTTGAACTTGACGATTTCATCACTGTGGAGGCATCAGATGCTGAGAAAGGTAATGCACAAGGAAGTTCAGGCCAGCAGAACGCAAATAATTGCAAATATTGGATTGCTGTTTCATCACGTGCAGATATCGTCATTGAAAAGGTTCATCCAGACATTATGAATTTAATGTATGTGAATAAATGAAAAAAAAAAAACCGATTTTCTAAAGAAATTCTTGTAGTTAGTAATCAAAAATTCCATTTCAGTTTCAAAATTTGCTGCCGAGTAATGTTTGTGGGCATATTGTCGCGGATGTTTTGGAGCAAACTGCAACCATTCCAAAATTAAGGGATCGAGCGTTACAGTTTCTGAACGCTAAACTGCTACAAGATGGTTCATATATACGTACGGTGAAAGTGGATCACTTGAATAGCTTGATTACAAAATTTAACTCTTGGTTAAAACCAATTGAAGAAGGATTTGATGTAAGTTTATTTTGATATTAGAAATTTGATATTGTGTCATTTTCATATCATTGCTTTCTATTCGTTATTATAATAATGATAACTACAGAGAACTGAGTAGGATGGATTCTGTAATTATACTGCTAATTTTATTTCAGGTTGATCTTTGCCAGAAAGCAGCTCATACATTGAAACTGGTGGCACGTAATATGACACCTTCAGCAGGTTTCATGTTGTTATCTGAAACACTAGAATTAACTGTGGAATTGGTAAGTTCCATTTTGTGCTTCGAAAATTTTTCTATGACACAAAATTTTGAAGTTAGAAGACTGCTTAATAGTTTGAATAGAAAATAAGCTCAATCTGGAACTTCTGAGTACCGTAGAATTTAAATTTAGAACTACTTAACTGTTAAATTTTTTTTTTTCATTTGCATTTAAGTCTTTCTGTTTTTAACATATATTTGCAGCTCACTAATCGTGATATGCACGATGAAGCGGTGATAGGTAGCTTACTTTTATTAGCTGGTGAATTAATGCGCTTTCAACGTGTAAAAAATTCCATTCTATATGCAAATGCTCTGACGACAGTCTGCACTGAAATTCTTTTTGCTGTACTTGAAACACAAAATGTGATTAGAGCTAGTAGTCAACAGCAGGCTAATCTGTCAAAAGATGGTATTTTATCCGGGCGAAGACGTCGCATCCAACACTCAATGAGTGGACGCTATGTTTGTAAGTTATAGTTTCAGTTTTGATTAATATTTGCAGACAGTTTCAAATGTAAATTTAGTGATTTGAAGAGAGAAAAGAAACAGATTTTAGTTTTCATTTTTTCTTTCATTATATTTTTTATTATTTTTATTGGATACTTTTTTTTTTTAAATTAATACTTATTTAAAAACTCAATCTTCAAAATGCTGCGCTTTAAATTTTCAGCAAGCACTGACGCACTATTAATTTGTTCACTGGTGTGTTTACAGCGGATTTTAGAAAATTTCGCTCAATTTATTTTCAAGCATTTATCACCCATTCTTATCATTATTTCACGGTTATGTTGCATCTGTGATTACATACCCTTAACGGTAAGCTTGACTGTAAACTTATATAAACTTAACTGTACCGATATATTTATCAGCTAATAATATGGTTTATCAGAATTCTGTACACTACTTAGAAATGAATCGGTTCGTTAAGTTAAATCTCAAGTGTGATCATACAGGTATGACCTGATTCGAGATTTTATGGTTTTTGAAAGTTGTGAGATCACAAAAATACACTTTAATGGATGCTAAAAATTTTGTCTTTTTTGGATGAAATATAATTTACAGCGAGCAGTAGGTCTAATTGGCTTGAAAAATGATTTTGATGTTCATTCTAAGATCATTATCCATGATCATACTAGTTATTTTAGCGATTGAAAAAAGAAAATAGGCAAATTTGTTATTGGTGGATTGGCTTAATTTTCGTTCATTTTAAGGGACAAATACCTTATGTTACAAGATTTATTCAAATTACTTCAAAGCAGGGCAAAAGAATAAAAATGATCTGAAATATAAAAATAGGAATTAGGGAGAGCGAAGTTATTTTACTGAGCATTGTCCTTTATTTGTATTATATCACTTTCGTTTTATTCACCAGTATAATTTTTTTGGAGAAAGAGTTTTTTTTTTTTTTTTCATATGAATTTATGTTTCAGGATTGTTCCACTCAGCCAAATCAACCGGCGAATAAATTTTCAGCTGTGCAACAACGAATTTCCTACATATGTCGCTCATTGTCGAAAATGGAGCTAAGAGTTGTTTTAGATGCTTTTGATGAAGCCTGCAATACTTTGATAGTTGAACCGGCAAGTTTCTGTTTTTATTTCATCTAACATTTTTTTCGTCCTGAAGGCTTATAAAGTCGAATCTGATAAAAAAAAAAATGATATCTTTGAAAAATGTATTATATCAGTATGTATTTTCTATCCTGCTTTGCTTTTTCCAGTTTGCTGCTAATCCATCTTCAATCATGGGATATTTTAATTGAAAATTTTACTATTTCAATAAATGTCTTTCAAACCTTTTAATTCGTTGATGAAATTTTATAGAAGCAATATGGGCAGTAATTTATGTATGGATGGTAAGGTTGAAATTATTATCATGAAATTAAATGAAAAAATTGCTAGACAGAGAACATTCGAAGTTATTTTAGAAATTTACTTCAACTTCGTCTTTTATTTTGTTATATTTCTAGGCAGCTGTGGGTATACTTTTCAAGATATTTTCGTTGCTTAATGATATTAAAAATAGAGAAATATTGCTAAAATTCGTCGTTCATGTGTGCGATATATATTTCCATGGCCTTGATATACGCCCAAATAATGCGAAATTAGGAGTAAGTTATTTGAATTTATGGATGATTTCCAAATAAAGACTTTTTTCATTGCTTGGAACGTTGCAATTTCATACAAATAGGAAGTTAAGCTAGCAGTTTACAAGAGCTTTCATTTTGCAGAAAAGTGATGCCATCGATAGTGCTGAACTAATGATTATCGACAGCTTTTTGGAGGTTATTGATAATTTGTCTGAAAATGAATTCCGGACGGTGACCAAATCCATCCATACGCGTTTACAGGATGCCCTATCACCTAACGCCAAAATAGAAATGCGTTATCGTTCGATCACGACATTTAGATTTTTAAATCGGTAGGTTATTCCTCGAAATATTCCGGAAAAAGAATGCTTTGAAGATGTTTGTGATCATATACTTCTAAACAACTGTATGATGCTATTAGCACTGCATTTCTTATTAAAATTTGAAGTTTGAAGTTTAACATTCTAAATCATTGTTCTCAAGAAGCAGTTGGTATAGTTATTTTACTGATGGAACTTTTTTGCTTCTTACCCTTTATTTTAATTCATATTATTCATTAAATCTTTAATACGCGCAGTTTTGCTTAGCAAAAATTTGTTTTCATATATTAATTCAGCTTCTATGAATCGTATAAGAATTTATCATTACCACATTTTGGCCGATTTTTTGGTTTCTTGCCGGATATCTTTTCGCGATGCAATTCTTATACAACAGGTATCTTTCTCAGATGTATATGTCATTGTGAGTTTCTCAGATTTGAAATTTTAAAACCGTAGAATTCTAATTGGCATGCTTCTTTACAGATTCTCAGTCACTGATATTCTACGATGGCGAAGATTCAGCTAATATTGCTGCTATTTCAGTTGATTATTTGTTGACCGTTGTCATTGATTTTATAACGAATTGTGCTCGTCATCCAGCATTTTTCACTTCGTTAGTTTATACTGAACTTTTCTTTCATCTTACCGAAATATCAATAACTGAGAGCTTTCTTACGGATATCATAAATGACTACTTCCATATTTCCTAGAACTATATTTTCATGAATGAGACAGTAGGTATAGGTTTTGATTTTCTCTAAATCAAATTTCACTATAAATTTTCAGAGAACGTGCAAACATCGTGCTAGATTTATTGGTGAATGAATTAGAAAATAAAGATATACCGGGTCATGAGCTTCGTTGCGTACCACATCTAGCTGAATGCTTCTATAATATTATCGATTGCCAAAATGAAGTTCTTATGGATGTAATTAATAAAATCATGTTGAAAACGCGGAGTCGAAGTTCGAAGGTATTGTTTTTGCAGAAAAAAGAAGTAATAAATCATAAGGGTTTCAAAAATCTGCTGCATTTATTGATCTTCAGGTGCTGAAATGCTAACATTAGCCATTTGAAGGGAGGGTGGGATTTGCTGGACATTTGTTTCTAATGCTTCTGTTTTACTTTGATTCTGATTTACTTTGAAGGTATATAATAGCTTGTAATTTATTTATCGTAGTGTAATTTATTTATCGCCTTATTAATGCTGTTCCAAATCGTTTTGTCTGTAATGAATGAAATACGATTATTTTAGATTCGTTATCGTACGTTATTAGTTTTGGAATGGTTATTCGAGCATATGGGTGATGCGGTTGCACCAACGTTACCATCAGTGCTACCATTCTTAAGTGAACTTCTTGAAGGTATATTTTTTAAAAGACATTTAGTAGTAGTAGTGGTGGTGAAGTGAAATTCCTTTCCATGATTATATTCTCGATAGATGAGTGTTAATCTTGGGCAACAGTTTTCTATTTTTGCTGTTGCTTATTTTTTCCGTTCTCCAAATTGTATGTCATATTTTCAGATGACAATCGAAAAGTTGAAATGCAATGTGATGCAGTAATTAGCGTTTTGCGAAAGAGCTTTGGCGAAGAAATCACGGAGGGATACGCTTAATTCTATGATTTATATGTTGTTATGTTGTTTTTGTTTATATTTCATTGATGAATTTCGTCTGGGAACGACAGTATTGTAAGTTACAGCTTTAGGTTTTATTGTCAAAGCATTCTTTCACATTTAATGAATGAAAAGGCAATAATATTTTATTAGAAAACAAATGATAACAGCACAAAATTTTCCAAAAATAGAATACTTCTAAATGATATCAAGCGAGTTAGTTGCATATATTGCTGTAAATTCAAAGAGAAAAAAATCACTGATTATTCCCTCTCTCACTTTGTTTCATATCATTGTTGATTGTTGTACCATTGTTGATTATGTTGTTTTAAGCTTGAAGTTTTGAAATTACAAAATCATTAAAACTGGTGAACTCTCATTTGAATTTTTGTGTTCCTCTTTTTTCTTTCTTTTTGAACGTAATTCTGTTCATTTCACAATTTTTTGTGGAGAAAAGATTTCGAACATTCATGAAGACTATAGCATATGAAAATTTTGCATATTCATTCATATCTCTAATTGTCAGCCGGTGAGGGCATTTAATAAAAAATGAGATTTTTTTATTGAAAAATAAACAAGTGATAACAACATAAATTTTTCCGAAATAAAAAATACTTCTAAATAATAATATCAAGTGAGCTGCAAATAATACCAAGGTTGCTTTCAAATGATATTAAACGAAGTATTGCGGAAGATCACCTCATGAATTTCTTAAATTTATCAAAACTTTAAACATGTTTGTCAACTTGCAATATAACGTGTAATTGATACAATAATAAGTGGTGCAATTATTATTAGCAAAATTTGCTATTTTCTTCAGTTCGTTGTTACCAAATATTTAGTTGTTTATACGATCGATCCTTCATGATCAGTCAATGTAAAAACTAGAAATTATTAATGGAATATGGTTGATCTTTGACTTACACATAATCTCTAAAATTTTTTGCTAAATGACATGGTCACATTATCTACCAGTACTGACGCAATTCAATTTTTTTTTTTTGGATTGTTAAGTGAAAATGAATTTTGTCCATGTGTCTTTTCACGACATATGGCCTTAGTCCGCATGTGAAAAGACAAAAGCAGATCATTTACTTGAACATTATTCATTACCTGAGCATAATTATTCAACAGGTAAATACCATTTATCCTCCATCTAATTATATTGATCGCTTTTTAGTCCAATTAAAGGGATAATTGCACCATTTTTTTTGTCTCTAGGTATATTTTGTAGACATAACAAATTTATTTAGTAATGAACTAAAAAACATAATTGTCTATTGATATGATATGAAGAGTATCAAATGGATCTCTGTTTCATTATACTGAATTAGTATTCGAGAAAAGAAAAATTTGTTCAACGTGTTAAAGATTAGAGCTGCTTTCTTATGATAAATGAAAAACAACTTTTTGCATATTGAATTTAAGTAAATTAATAATGAACAATTATGATAACTAAGTTAAAAATGCATCATCTCTCTTTCTTATAATAGCATTTCCTTGTCTGAAACCACTTTGTGATGTCAACTTTTGTTATAAATTATTAGGTGAATACTTTTCGCTCACTTAGGATGCTTTTTAATATTAGCTCTTTGCATCACAAATTGTTCATTTCAGTTGTGTACGCATTTTTTACTACTTCATGGGATAATAAATAAAGATAAAATAGGAAAAATTCCAATGATAAAATTAAATTATAAATTCGTCTCTGCATTCTGGTGCTTCGAAAACGTTCGATTGCTACGCTCCTTTTCTTATGTTTCCCGAAGAATGCCCAAATTGTGTCTCATTTTCTGGAATGAGAATTTTTACTTGTTTTGTAACGTCAAAAGAGCAATTCGTCGCAGCCGGCTGAAATGATATGCTTTTCTGCATACTTTCCACTAATTAGAAAAACAAAGCAATTTGGCCAAGAGTGGATGGAGTATTCATTACTTTGCTAATATTTTCAGTGTTTGTTGATGTATATTGAAGCGTCACTGTCACCATTGTCAACACCTTTTTAAGCAGTTGGTTCTTAGGTCATGGACAGTTACTACATGTTGAGTAGGCGATATGGAAAGAAAGACACAGCATCTAATGAGCGCAAATATTGTATTGTAACCCTGTGGTCACAAATGTTTCGCACAAATTTCATACACATTATATTTCAGACTGAGATATCTGTTAAAATTCTGCTAAATATGCAAACTAACGAGATTTTATTTGACAGCTCTTCTTATGATAACGCAGCATCTTCCTGGTATTGAAGAATTTGCCGCAGCACTCGCATTGAGAATGAGGTTGATGCGTCTGCATGTGATCGTAAAATGATGATTTTTGGCCAAATGTTCGCCCACAACCAGGCACTTTGCATTCATAGATGAAGGGTTGACCGTGTGTTTTCCTGTGTGTTACATATTCTTTGTAATTTTTCGTGGTAACAGTACACCCGAGGCAATGACAAGTATAATTTTTCTTATCTGAAAAATTCTTGTCAAAGCATTTCAAACAGTTTTTGATCTGCATTGTGAATAATTAAAGACCAAAGGTGAATAATCCTAGTGCGAGGCATTCTGCATAGAATAACCTTATCATATTCCATTTCAAATAATTTAGACCACAATAAATTGCTTAATTATTTTCGAGTATAGTAACAACAAAAAGCACAATTGTGAATTTTCTGTTGTGTTGTTAATCAGCACTCACAAATGTTTTGTAGCATATTTCACACGCATTTCATTTCAGGTTGATATATGTGTTTGAAATTCTGCTAAATTTACAAACTAACGAGATTTTATTTGGCAGCTCTTCTTATGATAATTCAGTCCATTCTTGGTGGTGAAGAATTGGCCACAGTACCCGCACTGCGGATGAGGTTCATGCGTTTGCTTATGGTTGCGAAATGATGAATCATAGTCGAATGTTCGCCCACAACCAGGCACTTTGCATTCATAGATGAAGGGTTGACCGTGTGTTTTCCTGTGTGTTACATATTCTTTGTAATTTTTCATGGTCACAGTACATCCCGGGTAATGACAAGTATAGTTTTTCTTATCTGAAAAATTCTTATCAAAGCATTTTTTTTTTTTTGCAATCAGTAGTCTATTACACCATTTGGTACCTAAGTAATGTGAGAAATCATAAAAATTTCAGCTCTATAAAATGATATCACATTATATTTTAAATGGCTTAGGTAACTAGTAGTTGTTTACTTATCTTCTCACATATTCGCTGTGATGAAATCATTTTCGATTCGTTATTACTTCTATCTTCAATTTCATGCTGCTGATGAAAATAAAGAACTATAAGAGCAAAGAGCTGTTATGCAATTTGCCATTACCTGTTTTTGCTCCTTTATAGGCATTTCCCCTGTAATCGAGGATGTTCAAGTTATCCGAGAAGTGCTTATTGTCGATGTTGCTCTGTTCAGCAATTGCACTTTGATTGGAAGTGTCATCTGAGGAAAGAGTAAGTTGGTGAAAATAAATCGGAATGGCACTTTGTTGTGAACCAGGTAAGTGCATATATGTGATAATATCATCGCTGTTGAGATTAAGTGAGGAAGAAGTTTCATTCTGAGCATCTAAATAACTCAAATTACAAGAAGTTGTATTTATTTTTTCATATATCTAAAGCAAAAGTCTCACCACTAATGGAAGCATATCGCACATTATCATCACCCGTTTTTAATTCTTCATTAGCATCTCTCCACAAATTCCTATATGAGTCCATATCTGAGTTAAGTGATAACTCCAAATTAGTGTGACCGAAGGGATCATAAATATCGGAGAAGCCAGGATGAGGATCATTTACGATCTGATTAGTTTCAGATTTCCATTCTTCATTGCTTATATCCTCAGTTTCACTCAACTGAGCGAAATCAATAAACTGAGAAGGATCGGATGGAAATTCTGAGCTAGACAATGGCTCAAAATTGTTGTAATCGAGGATATCAAGACCATCTGAGATGCCAGAAGAAGAGTCCAAATTAGGTAGGTGGGAAGTTTCATTATCAGAAGCGATGCAAAGTAGAAGATTTAACCAAATGATGGGTGTCATAAATATATTGAAGAACATAGTGATACACATAATTTTGTGAGATGACAGAAATGCTCAAATGGAAGCTTTTTATTTCAGATTGCTTGGAATTAAAGGCCAAAGGATCAAACAGTTTTTAATCTGCATTGTGAAAAATTAAAAACCAAAGGTGAAACAGTTTTAAATCCGCATTGTAAAGTTTATAAATGTTCTTTTGAAAACCGAAAGAAGGGCTACAGTAGCGTGTTCTACCATTTCAATAATACGTGTAAACTGAGTGACAACGTAAGAAATGGGATTCTGATGCATTTAATAAAATGGTTTGTTATACATACCACTAATAATATCACTGATAGAACATCATCGGATCACTTGAAATTTGATAATTATTGGTTTTTGAGATACATTTCACATACTGTTAAGAGAGAATTTCAACATAAGCTGAAGCGGTGTTTGATGTTTGAAAAGGTGGGACAAATTTCAAAAGTTTGGTTGATAAAATGGAGTAACATTTGCATAAAAGAAATTGGTGAATAGCTGGAATTAAATGTCATTGCATGGTGAAATATTTGATCTGTGCAGTATTTAACAATCCTGTCTACTTTATTTAATATTGTATATTGTGCTAAATGATATCAAGCGAGTTAGTTGCATATATTGCTGTAAATTCAAAGAGAAAAAAACCACTGATTATTCCCTCTCTCACTTTGTTTCATATCATTGTTGATTGTTGTACTATTGTTGATTATGTTGTTTTAAGCTTGAAGTTTTGAAATTACAAAATCATTAAAACTGGTGAACTCTCATTTGAATTTTTGTGTTCCTCTTTTTTCTTTCTTTTTGAACGTAATTCTGTTCATTTCACAATTTTTTGTGGAGAAAAGATTTCGAACATTCATGAAGACTATAGCATATGAAAATTTTGCATATTCATTCATATCTCTAATTGTCAGTCGGTGAGGACATTTAATGAAAAATGAGATTTTTTTATTGAAAAATAGACAAGTGATAACAACATAAATTTTTCCGAAATAAAAAATACTTCTAAATAATAATATCAAGTGAGCTGCAAATAATACCGAGGTTGCTTTCAAATGATATTAAAACCTAGCAGAGATTTTCTGTCATTTGTTACAAAATGGTTAGTCTTACTTATCGAATGAACATAATTTGGTGCAAGATACTTCATGACGATATAAGCTAATGAAATAAAGTGAAATATGGATAAAAAGGGAATATGACAACATGTGTACGTTATTAGTGTTCATTCTTCTGGAGCCGAAAGGATGTAATCAACGCTGAATCCAGGAATTTTTGGTGAAACCAATTTCATATCTAAGCGAATGTGTTGGACATCAGTCTCATCTAGCGAAAGTTTCACCGTAATACGTTGGAAATTCCTCACTTCTACACCTTCCGCCATTAACAAATCATCTGTTACTTGATAATTCGATCCACACGGAAAAACAACGATCGATTCAAAACCATATGCTGGTACAAATACCTATAAAAAAAAAGCCTTTGTGAAAGTAAAACAATTAATTATATTCTTTTCTTCAGTAATAAAATACTTAAAGTGGCTGATATTTAAGAAGATTAGTTTAAGTTGAAAAATACAGGATCTAAAAGAATTTGGGATTATAAAAAATCGATTTTATAAAAACTATTAATTACCTGAATGCCATTTTTGCGGATACCCATCACAAAACCATCATGTAATTCGGTACGACCTTTGAAGTAAAGCAATGTATTGAGCGAAACCGATGCCCTACCCGCATACTGCGCTTGTTTATGTCTGAAAAGAGAAAACTTTACGCATATTAAACAGTAAAAATAAAAAAAGTAAAATTTGGAATAAAAGTTAAAGAAAAACTATTTAAAGAGAAAAGTACAGTTTGATATTTCAAAGTTCTATTTTACACATCATTTTTTTATTATAATTGAAAAACTACAATAACTTTCTTTACTTTGCTCTAACTACGATATATCGAATAACTTCCTAATCAAATGAATTTTAAAACGGATAGATTTTTTTTCACTGCTAACCTGTAATTCAGATTGCTTGCAATTTTGCTGACCAAATCACCTTTTAACATTTCGGGAAAAGTGGAATCAGCACAAATTGAAGCAGAAAGCAATCGATGAACCATTATATCTGCATATCTTCGTATTGGTGATGTAAAATGAGTGTAGATTGGAGCGGCAAGCCCAAAATGAACATATTGCTCGGTTGGCAATGATCCTAGAATAAACTCTATCAGAGCTAATAAAAGTGACAAAAATTTGTGGTGATGTCAGAATTCAGTACATTTAAGATAAAAAAAATTTTTTAAAAAATAAAAATCAAAAAAAAAAAAAACTAAAATAAAGTTTGGACAAAGACAAATGTTACAGGCTCAACATAATAACCTGCATAAGATGCTAAAAATTAAAAAAAATTAAACTAAAAAAATTAAAAACAAAAAAAAAGAACCTGATGAGAAATATACAGCTTGTGTCATACAACGTGTTGTTAACATTCGAAAGAGTGTGTTAAGCATTGCGTTATTCGGATCCACAGCTTCATCTAAGCTTTCCGAAAGAGCTTTTCCACTTTCAACATTCATTTTAAAGCCTTTCGCCTTTGCCATCTAAATTTACAACTCGACATTTTTTCAATATATCTGAACAAAGAGAAGGTAAAGAATGAATATATAAGAAAATCTTTTTACTTACGTCAACCACTGGCTTGTAATTTTCTTCCGGTGGAACTGGATGTCGTCGAAGTAAAGCACAATCAGGAAAATCTGCTGTTATGCGTTCTGCAACTGAGATATTTGCAAGCAGCATAAATTCTTCAACCTATAACAAAAATATAGTTGAAAAAAATAGATGTAAACAAACTAAAAATGCATACATTAAATAGAGAATACTTATATTAATGGACAGACTAATAAGTACATAGTAAATAGATCACTTAATAAACTACGTAATAATAAATCTGACCATACTATTCGTGGCTAGCATCTTCTTCTCTTGTATACTGATCGGATCTTTAGTTTCGGAATCTATGCTAAATCGAATTTCAGAAGATGCTAAGGTTAAAGCACCATTAGCATGCCTTTTTGCTTTTAGCTTCTTTGATAGCTTCAATAATGTTCGCAATCCCATAGTTATAGAATCTGACTGAAAAAAAAAAAAATTAAAATAAAGAAAGAATACTATGTTCACTGATCCATCGAATATTTATGCAAAAATCCAAATGAATCCCTCCGAAATTAGCTTAATCAAATTATTCACAACTTCTTTACAATACAATAAAATTAAGTGATAAAAGAATTATAACATGAACAAACATGATTCACCACATCTCTTATTGCAATATCAGTGTTTATTATTTTGTCTTATTCTCCTTGATTTGATACTTTTAAAGTCTATAGTATGCGACATACACCATCCAATAATACTAAAGACAGTGTATTAATACGTATCTATTGCATTAAGCATTCAGAAATAAAATACAGAACACACTAACCATAGAAGGATCATCGATCCTATTCTGAGCTTGCTCATATGTAAGTGCACCACTGGAACGTATAAGAGATTTATGAAATTTAATATCAATGATATCAGCATCGGATGTCAATGTCCAAATTACTGAAAAAGCCAAACGATCGACATTTTCACGAAGTGAACATAAATCACTTGAAAGTAGTTCTGGCAACATATCGATACGTCTAAAATATATCAAAAAAAAAAAAAATCAGAAAAGATATGGAACATCATTCGAATATATTTATTTGCTAGTTAATTATATAATCTTAATAGCGATTTATCAATTTCTTTTACTTCTAAATGTTATCATTACAAAACAATGTAATCATCAAGAGCTAGGTTAACGATTTAATCGAATCATTCACCTTTTCGAATAATATAATAATTCGTTATTCAAGCTAATAATAACTGGGGTTCAATCTGGAGTAAGCATCTATTCTTTTTTTTTTATTTTTTTTTATTAACATTTTAGAGTAACGAGACACTTACTTATCACAAAGATAAACAGTTGTTCCTCGATGAGCTGCTTCAGCGTCCATTGCTGTATCTGGCCTAACAAAATGTGAAACATCCGCAATATGAACACCAACCGGAAATAATGATTATTAGATAAGTTAAGATCAAAATAAAACTGAGAAATGAAAAATTAAAAAAAAAAAAGATGAAATAATAACCTCATAGCGATCTGATGCAGTTTGAATGCAATGAAAAGCATCATCAATATCGGTACAACCGGGCGGATCAACTGAACAAATTGTCAATGAACGAAGGTCTTTTCGATGACTTTCATTAGGTACATGCCAAGGAACTTCAGGTAAGCATGCGTAAACTGCATCCGAAAATGGTCCATGTGGTACATCATGCTCCAGTAATAATACCTTCAAAATTAAGTCTACTATTGTTTAAAGATCCAAAATAAATGAACCGAAAAGTCAAAATAAACCGGGAGATAAAAGATTAAAAATAAATCTAGAAATATAGTTAAAACTGTAGAGTATAGGGTTTTATCCAAAAATATTTTGAAGTAAAAAATAGTAATAATAATAATAAAAAACAAGTGTTGCTGTCAAAGTCATACTTCATTTTCCGTTTCACGATCACCTGCTATGCCAATACTTCTCACATAATGTCCAATTGGATAGCGTGAATCTCTAGGCCAGCTATCAATCGCAACAATAATCCGTTTTCCTTTCAAATGCTCAGCTTGGCGTGTTTCAATTCGTATACGAGGTATAAGTCGTTCCGCTGCAGCGAATAGTACACGTGTTGAATCTGCAAATGAATTTTGCGAACAGAATAATATGATAGCATTTGCTGTATATAAATGTTTATCCAATAGCTGCACACATGATGATTACACCTAGCAATAATATTATCTTCGCTTATTGTCTTATCCATTCTACAAATATAAAAATAAACACCTCGTCTGTTTTACAAAATAAAGGAAATGTAAATGATTACTTACATCTCAAAAATATTAGATTAAATTCAGTAACTCATTAGTGTACTGATGTTTACCAAAATAAAGAAGAGAAAGAAGAAATGATGTTGAAGAAACAATCTGGAAATGCAATGAGTAATTTGTAGAAATTACAAATGTTGCATCATATCAAAGAAGAGAACTTTCATATTAGGTATTAAATCAATCATATTAAGGAGAACCTTTCACAGCGGGCTGCAAAATCATTCCACAATATTGACGCCAATTTCGCTTAATAACTCCAACTACTCTAGCAGAAGGAATTTTATCCTCCATTCGTGGCTTTTTCCGCTGGATTTCATCCTCATCTTTGTCTTCCTCTTTATCAACTGCATCTTTCATTTCAATTTCTTCCACATCTCGTAACTTAGAAAAAAGAAACTCGCTAATTTTGTTTACATGCAAGTTTTCAATGGGACTGCAATCATCGTATCGACAAAAGGAAGGTTTTCCAAAAATGAAAAAGAAAAGTTAAAAGTTAAATAAAAGCATAACTATATTTACTCGAATAACTTTTTGCGGGCAAGTCCACTCAGATTCTGGCAATAGTTCCACAGCAACTGTATCACCATTAACAGCACGATTCATATTGATACGACCCTGAATAAACCACGTAGTTCCTTCGTCAACATGAACATATGCTTCTGTGTAATTTTCACGAGAGACCTGAAATCAAATATTTGTTAATGCATAATTATATGAATTTTTGCAGAGCTGTAAGATAAATTATTGAATTTGGAGGTCTGTAAGATAAATCTTGAAAAATTTGCGGCCTGAAAGGTAAACTGTTGGAATTTTTGCAGAACAAAATCCCTGAAATTTTTGAGAAAACTAAAATATATTTTCAAAAACTTGAAGATAGTTTTCGTTCAAAACAGTTTCACCAGACCACATGACAAGCTGAGTAAAATTATGTGACAGAGATAGTATATATATATGAAATATGAAGTAACCAATGCAAACCTGAAATGTTGCTTTTTTAAATTTTCCACTTCGAATTCCATTTTGTATCATATCGTGAGCCAAGTACTCTGGGAACAAAATACGTCCTCGAGCATCGCACTCTGCATTGTAGACGGCCAGTTTATCGAGCAAATCAGTATTATCTTCCATGCCTGAAAATTCTTGAAATGTGCTAATGATGAAAGTAACAAATAAATATTCACGGTATTGAACTGTAATAGCTCTCTATATGATAAAAATTAATAATAAAAAATTTAAACCTTCAATGTATTCCTGTAAAGTGAAAACATTTTCAAATTGTTTCTTCAACTGTTCTTTGGTTACATTGGTACCACATACAATAATAGGAATTATAGACAATTGTTTCCAGTGATTTTCATAGAATTTGGCACATGTTATAAGCGATCTAGTTAACCTCAAAAATTAGTCTCTAATCAATGACATAAAAATTACCAATTCAGTATCAAGAAAAATAGTGTATCAACAAGAGAAAATACAAAATCAACCAAAATCTTTAAAGCAAAATGTGATTTTCTTTTTTCCACAGAAAAATTATTGAAAATACCAAAATTGCCTCAAATTCACCTACCTCTCTTCTTCGCTTTCACCTGCAATACGATCAAGATGAGTTTCATAATGAAAATCATCCATGAAAACGTAAATTTTCCTGTCCGGACTGTCATAGCACAATGTATACATTGATTTGTAAGATGGTGGACTTGATCTTTTCACATCTCCCCAAACAGTCTGTGTAATGATGATGTTCCTGAAAAGGAAACGAAAACGTCTGAAAGAGATAATATATCAAAAAATCAAACATTTCGACATCTCATAAAAAAATAAGATACTGACGTGAATTTCAAATTATCGAACAAATGATGAAAACGGATTAATGCCGAAGAATCAAGAATGATAGCATGATTGGTAGGTACTGTAGATGAAATTTGAACAACCAAATTGGTAAGTGAGTGACCCTCAACCGGTTGACAATTTTTACATGAATCCAATCCACAACCGATATCATTTCTTAGATATTGTTCATGTACTCGCTGTAAAAATAAAAATCAATCCACTTAGTGTAATATATCTGCTATCCAATTAAAAATTCTTGATATCAAAAATAAATATTAAGAAACTAACAATATTTTCAGAAAGAAAAATGAAACGAAATCACAGAAAACTAAACCTTACTTTCACAATTTTACCACTTTTTGTCTTCCTGTAGAGTACATTCAGGACGCGTTTACTTATTCCACTTTGCTTTACATTAAGTTCAAGCATATCACTGCAAAATAGAAATTACAAAATGAATTACCATTCATTTCAAAAATGCGACAAATACAATACTACCCTTGTCATTTCTTGCTAAAAAAAAAAAAAAAAAAATTGAATTCACAATGAAGAAAATTTCTTGAAAAAAAAAAAATTCACAATGAAATAAGTGGAGGAAATTTGCTCGAAGATGATTTTGAAAATTTTTCAAAGATAAAAGTAAGTTTATGAAATAAACTGAACAACAGAGAAAAGACAAGCTGATTAACTTCATTTATACAATAAACAAGTTAAACATGAAATATGTTCAATGAGATCACAATATACGTACAAATGACTATTTTTGCTAATGCAAAATATGAATATTAAGACGAATTTCCACCGTCAAAGCACAACACATGATACATTAAGCATTTTTTTTGACCTCGACTGGATAAATAATCATACGCGACTATCCTGAAAAATTTTTTAACCACAAAAACTTTATCTAACTTTTACTGTTTTACTATAATCCAGCAATTTTTGCTACAGTTATAAAATGTTGCACAATACTTTAAAGTGTAGAAACATTGTCATTTTATATGAGTTTTATATAAATATATATAAAATATAAAAGACATTGGGAATTAAATTACCATATATAAATTATATTGGGAAATTACCATATTACACTAAAGTGTAAAAAATATTTACTGTTGCGACTGTCGGATCATCGTCACTTGTTGGTGAAGAGCCAGCTCCTTGAGTGCCAGTTTTAATCGGCAGATACAGCTTGAATTCAGCAGGAAGTTCATCTTCCGAATACAGTCGATCCGCAAAGTAAATTCGTCGAATACGACAGTTCGCATGGATCTAAATTTATCGAAAAAATTATATGAAGAAGTAAGTAAACAAACTGAAAGAAACATCCATATTCAATAAAAATATTTAATAGATGAATCCATATTTCGTATAAAATTAAACCAGTTTATCATAAGCGATGATTATAAATGATAAACAAGATGAACCTGTATACGAAGAGTTTCCACATAAGCTGTACCGTATGCTCGTTTAGTAAAATCAGCCAAATTGAACTGAATCTGATTCCATCCTTCATCTAATCTCATAGGCATTGTACAAATGAATGGTTTAACTCGAGTATTGGATTGAAAATTAGATGCTCGAAAACGTCGCTTCACGCCTTTATCATCAAGTATCTGCAAAATTATACACACTTAAAGGTACTACTGGTTTACATTTCGCTGTTGATATAATAGATGAAAAATTTTTCGTGCTAAAGTTTTACAAGAAGGACAGAATTAGTAGATATCAGGAAAACACATTAACAAATCAAACTAATGAATGAAGAAATCGATTTAATATTTGAAACCTATCATGTTTTTAGCCATTAAAAAAAAAAAAAAAAAACTTGCATACTATGAAAACAAAGAAGAGAAAAGTCTTAAATATTTATTAAACTAAATAAGCTTAGAAATATTACCATTATTACTTTCCTTCTTCGGTAATAATATCAATTAGAATTTGTATCAAGGAAAGAAATTACAATGTATCTGATGACAAAATAAAATCGTTTTCTTTATATGTTTTTATAAATTTGAGAAAAACTATCAAAGAGTTAATAGGTTGTAATTAAAATAAATGAAATGCAAACCTGGACTTCAAATGTGAAATATTTTTTCATATTTTTAACAATCATTACCAAATATGGTAATTTAATTCCCAATGTCTTCTTTGGATCCAATGGGCATGAAATATATGTAGTGCTAAAAAAATTTCAGTTATATAACATACATTTTAAACACATTTATTTGAAAATGGTGCTCAAAGTAATGGTCATTATAAGAATGTTTAGCAGTTTATAATTTATAACATTTCATTATCAAACTTACAAACTTCCAATCATACTATTTCACGTAATCCGTAAATAAGCATTCGGGATTTAAGAAATACATATTTAAATGTCAAATGTAGATTCTCACCTTACATTTGTGCCCAATATTTCGATTATTAGTGATTGTATATCTTCATCGTTAATCCGTTTTATATGCCCATTTCGAACCTAAAATCGGATGAAATATGCCGGAAACCGCTTTTGTTTCTATTTAATTTAAACTAAATCTTGAAAGTATTCTGTTACGGCTTGAAAAAATAAACAGTAATAAGTCTGAAAATTTTGAGAAATTAATATTAACCTTTTTATCCCAAATTTGTAGTGGTTTACTTCCAATACTGTATAATACAGAAAGTAATCCACTTTGGAATGTATTATGAAACATTTGCACTGAAAATACAAAAATTAATTGGACATTTCACACTTATTCAGTTGGAGCTGATAAATATGAAAATACGGAATAAAATTATGTGCAATAAACATTAAAAATTTGTCATTTTGGGTGAATAAAATTAAAAATGAAAATTGACTGAGTGATAAATCAAAAATTTCAGTACAATGCAATATTTCAATTCCATTGAACGAAACTAAAATTGAAAATTGCTTATAGTATTTCAATAACAATTATGAAATTTCACTTTGCGCAAATGTCATCTGATCATTTCAAGTATGCAACTGCAATGCTACATTATGAGCCAACCAGGTTTTCCTTTTATTTTTCTTTCGCTTTCTTTTTTCTTTTTAAGTAAGTTAATTAATTAGATTAGATTAGATTTTTTTTTTTAAAAAAAAAAGAGGAGATGAAAGTGAAGAGTGTAAGTGAGAAAAGAGAAAAGCATTTGAATTTTTAGACAAAACAATTAAAAGTATACAATTAAGAATAGCAAAAGATTCGTAGCTTTTCAGTGATATAAAAATAGTATATGGTAAGAGATTATGAGAAATATATTAATCGATTATAATTTCTCGTAATAGAGAATAAAGAATAATTGAATGTTAATAAATTGTAGTAAATAAATGCTAGAATAGAAATTTTTATGTTAATGATAATTATAATTAGTTTGCATGACATAAATAATTATTGATTAATCATTGATTTATTAGCAACTTTTTTTTCTAGTTTGAATGCTCAATTAAAAGTGATATTATTTTATGCTCGTACACTTCTTAATTTAGCATAATTTATTATAACATTACGATAGTATTAATGGCAATTATCATTTTTAAATATTTAGTAATAAATTTTAAATAATCTATAATGTATTAAGCATAATGAGTGAATGAATAACAGATTAATATTACTGATAGTTTTGACGAATTTTTTTGCTGTTTATTACTTTTATTTTTTTCTCATTTTTAGCTATTATTTATTATTGAAAAATGGATGAGAAGTGATATGGATGTTATAATACCATCAACTTCAACATTACTCTTCCCAGATTTGATGACACGAGATGAACTTCTTACTCTTTTAAAGTATAAATTCAAACGAATTGGTATCAATACGAGTAAGTTAGTTAAACTTACAGATGTTCAATTATTGGAACAGTTCAAAAAATTTGCAATGCCAAAACCACAGCGGAAGGTTTCCTTTTCTTATTATAGCTAACAAACATTTAATTTTTACATTTTACTTATATTCCATATTCAATTTTTCATATATCAAATGAAATATTTGAGCTATTTATATTTATTAAGATATTAGTAGTAAACAAACTTAAGATATTATTTTTCATATATTAAGAAATAATATTTTTAAAACAGAATTGTCATTAACATTAAATTGTGTCATCGAAATATGTATTATTTGCTAATTTTATGCGTTATAGTTTAAGCATGAATTAATTTAGGATGTAGTAAATAATAATAAAAAAATCAGTGATTATTTATTAATTTATAATTTAGGTGTATTGGTTATGCGATTTTTTGACTTTTTTTTTTGACCTGAACTTTTTTTTAAATTTATTTTTTTTTAATTTTTTTAAATTTTGTCTTAAAGTTTTTATTCCAAATAATGAAATTATTCAGTAAATTCTCCATATTTTTTTCTTTTTTTTTTCAATGCTTGAAACGAATGTATTTTTCAGGAATGTATTCCTGAAAATTCTCAGAATAAGATGAGTAATATTAAAGATTCAGATGATTCGAGAAAAATATCAATGAATGAATTAATGGTTCAGTTTTCTTTTGTTTTCTGATATCTTTTATTATCGAATTTATACGAAATAATGCTATAAATACATAAGTTTAGCTACAGTAAAATTTTTACTTTTATTTTATCTCTCTAATGAGTAGTAGTTTAAAATAAAATTACTTACTAGCTTTACTAAGAGTAACTTTACATAATCTTTTTGTTGTTTTCGAAGTAATTTTAGTACCTACATGTTTCTTTTTAATTTTAAATGCAATTTTAATATTTTTTCGGATGAGCAGAAGTAAAATTTTTCATTTTTCCTCATATGAATACTTTGCTAATATTGCAGATTTCGGAATCAGTGTGCAATAGAGCTAAGTCGATTAACGGATGGCGAACAACTGCTTACGGAAAACGATGTAATGATAATAGTAGTAGTAGTAGTATAGAGCATCATAATATGGCGAAAAATGCTCGGAAGCATTCACCTATACGTTTTCCATAAATTAGAAATAATTTGGTAAAAAGTATATTTTGATTATACACTTTGCTAATATTGCAGAATTCAGAATTAATGTCAAATGTAAGTGAGAAATTCTATTGATTTTCTAATGTTTTTTTTTTTGTTTTCTTTTTTTTTTTTTTTCATATTTCTTTGACAGAAGTAATGAAATAGAATGCTTTCATGTCATATTAGATTTGTTTTTATATTTGAAATTGTTACCTTTAAAAAATTTCTATTTTAATTTTTTTTTTCAATTTTGTAATTTTTTATTTTGTATATTTCCAATAAAATAATTGATAGATTTCGCGATGTGACAATCATTTGAAGATTAATGGCATTGTTTATGATATAAGCCTCATTTCATATTTTCATAAATTATGATATAATTCTTAGAAAGTAAGAATTTCTTTTTTTTCTTTTTTATGTGTTGTTATTACAAGCAATGATAAATAAGGCTTGCATTGGAAGTGTTATATATTTTTCGAAATTTTTTTAATTACTACATTATATTTTTGAATTTTTTTTCAAATTTACATTATTTTAACATAAATTAGAAATTTATGCATTATCAGCTTTTCAGTCCAGTTGATGTAATTCTCTAATCTTTTTCTTATATTTTATATCCCAATTTTTTTTCTTCCATCAATTTTTAGTAATATTACTTATTAATTGCTGTTACTAAGAAATAAATAGTAATATCTTTTTAAAATGAAAAAAAAAAATCAATCTGTAGTTTTGTTTTTGTGAAAGTTACAAATTGTTGAATTTTGTTTGGAATTGTTATTCTCTATAAAATTTCAAATGCTAAAACATTCATCATTCGGTTGATTGGCTCTGACAAGAAATCAGTGATCTTATTTGATTAGATATATTGTATTCACAAAGTTTGAAATTTCTTTGTATACATCTCATGACCTCTTATTGTGCTATTGTATTTTTCTCTTCTTCTCTTTTCAGTTTTTTTTTTTTAATTTCTCCTTTTAATATCATCCTGTAAATCTTGCTCTTAGATTTGCGACCCAGTATATTCTGTGGAATTATCTGTGATTTTACATAATTGAATTCTTTAATGAAATAAGACCACCGGAATATTCAAACTGTTAACTTCAACAAGTTCATTAGTTTTTCAGTGGATAAGATTAAGTAATAATGAAAAAGAAAATCATTTGTCCTTAAATTACTATTTACTGTATTCTAATCTAAATACTTTCTTCACTTATCCTATGCATTTATTTGTGTTGTTATCTTATTTGCATTATTTACATATTTCAAATGTCACGCATTCAGCAATATTTCTACGTGTGCGTAAGCTAATTAACAACGTTACGGTTATACGTTTGAGTAAACTCGAATATACAAGTGTTTTGTTTTTTTTTTTTTGTAATGAAATATGATTATCATTAGTTTTATGCACATACCTGTAACAAGAATTTTAAGCCAGTCTCAATTGATCTCGTAATTATAGGATAAGTTATTATTATTTATAAAAATATTTGCTATAATCTATTGTTGAATCTCAATAAACAATTCCAACTTAAATTTAATTTCTGAGGAATTTTTACTGAGAGAAAATTTTTTTTAGAAGTTTCGATTTAGCTTTGCTTATTTATTAAAATGATTTCTGATTTAAAATTTTCTGGCTTTTCCTAAATGTAATAAGTAATTAGATATTTTAAAATAAGATTACAAAAATGATTGAATAAAATACAATTAGATGGTAGTAGAAACAATGAGACAGATGACAAAAAAAAAAAAAGAAAATAGCATATCCCCGTAATTAATGTAGTGAATTGAACGAGTAAGCGAATTAATGAAGCAATAGTATTGAATAAACATTAACTGATGATGGAATTTGCATTAAGTTAATGCGATAATTTCCTAAAATCTTATAGCATCACAATGACATCATTTCATAAAGTTTTAAGGCTAAAACAATTGAATTAGAGCCTAGCATTTATGTTTACATTTTTATAAAAAAAGAAGGAAAATTTTGCTTAATTTTCGAATTTATTTCAATCATTAAAAATTTTCAATCGTTATTAAATTTGTTAATAAATAAATATTTAATTATGTAAAACGGAGTTAATGAATGAAAGATTTATAAATGAAATATGAGATAAATTTCAATGAACCAAAAAAAAAAAAAAAAAAAAAAAAAAAAGAAGAAAAACAATTATCACTTATTTTATCGCTAATTTATTTATTAGATCAAAAGTATTATTCAAAACTAATAGTAATAGTAATAATAATAATAATAATAATAATAATAATAATAGTGATAGTAATAATATTATTCTTAATTACAAGAAGCAATCACCATCCATAAAATGTGTATTAGCAATTGTTATCGAATCATACTGAACATTTTTTGATTCATTTTTCATCCACATTTTTCTCAATGCTCGTCGATATGGTCGCAGTAAAATTAAATTAATTAAAGCATTTGAAAGTGGATGAATGCCAATAATTGCTTCACCAACGGTAAACCATATCATATTAATATCAATTGAACACATCAAAAAAACATCTGAAATGTTATTTAAAATTTCAAAGTTATAATATTATTTGTTAAATAATTATTTCTACTAATTAATTATCAATTATATTAATTTGGCAATTCGCAAATATTCACAATTAGTTCATAATAATTTAACAAAAACAACAAATCTTTCATTAATTCAAATTAGTGTCAACATAAAAATAAAATTGTTATGTGCAAAAATATTTGACACAAATATGTAATAATATTTAATTTAAAATGTTAATTATTTAATTAAAGCTGTATTATATAAATTAATCAATTTCAATTATGAATTCAAATTTCCAGAATAATTTTAATCATTAAGAAGTGATAATTTCTTCATTTTTTTTTTTTCTAGTGAATATCAAATATTAATAAATTCTAATCAATCATTCATTAAATAAATGAATATTAATTAATAATATATATTATATAGCATTCTTAAAAATTGTTTCTTACAGTTTATTAACTTTTTTTTCTTATCATTTTAAAATATTTTAATGATAAAAATTTTTTAATCTTATTAAAAAATTAAAAAAAAAAAAAAACAAAAGACAAACTTGCAATATAATATGGTGTAGCTAAGACAAGTGGCATAAATGCTTGTAAAATATATGTGTAAACAATCGCTTTTTGTTGTTGCAAATGTCTCGGATTTAAACTTCGCCCACTTTGCTTCCTAGCTGCTTTGGACTGTCGTCGAACAATGGATGAAAGCACTAATAGATTGCAAATGAATGAGAAAATGAAAAATGATGGCGATAAGACGAAGAAAACAAACTGAAAAATATTATAATTATTAATTAAACAATTAATTTAGCAATACATTTTGAAAATAAATGATATAAAATATTAATTTTGTCATAGTTTGTTTTAATTTAATGTACTTTTTTGAGCTTACAAATTAGTTAATTAATATATTTTGAACAAAAAAAAAAAAAAAAAAACGTGTTGAGATATTAGGAATGAAAATTTATTATTATCAAATGCGTATATTTTAAAGCTTTTGTGTGAATTTTTGATAAGAATAGTAAATGAAAAAAATAAATTAGCATTTTATAATAGTAAATAACACTAATTAGCTTATTACTTATTAACATTAGTTAGTATTTAATTGGTAATGCACTAATTAACATTTGTTGAAATTAGTTAATTAATGAAGTATTGTTAATAAGTTATCAATTAGCTAATTACTGGAAATAATTCATAATGACACGGTCTTTCAATTGTGCTAATATTAAAAAAAAAATATTTAAATGGATTAAATGTAATATTATTTAACAATCTATCATTTAAAAATAGGAAAAATTTAAGAAATGAAATGCTAATATTATAACTTTATGATTTTAATTCTAAGTATAATTTTAATTTTCAATTCGACAACATTCGAACGATAAAAGAAAAAAAAAAAGATTTTTTGTTTTTAAAGAGTTAACTTTAACATTAATTACTGTTTATTAAAAATTTTAGAAAAAAAATGAGTTAGTTATGATATTTGCATTTTAATGCTTCTCTTATGAATGTAGAATAAATTTTTTTTTTCAATTTAAATGTTAAATCTTTCATGAAATTTTGTTAAATGAACATTTTATAAAAATTTTTTTACTACAATTTTAATTTAAAATAAAGTATTTTTTTTAAAAAAAAAAAAACAACGCTAAAAATTTATAGCTATTTTTTAATTGCAAAATTATCTCGCAAGTCATTATTAGGCTGTTTTCACTAAAATTATTTTTTTTTATGAAGACAAAAAAAAAAAGAAAAAATTAAAAAGTGAAATAAGATGAAATATTTGCAGAAATTTTATTCTACCTTAATGGATCTATTAAAATGATGAAAAAATTGATCGATTATTGGATAAGTGATAATAATAATAATAATAATTATTATTATTATTATATTGTACTGTCTTATTTTTTAGTTTTCATTTTTATTTGCATTTGTTAATTTTATAAAATTACACTAATTTCAACTAATCTATTGAAAATCGCAAATGAGTTATTTAAATATTTCACATTTAATTATTTAGAATTTATTAATTCGTAGCAGTTTTATTTATAAAATTCATTATAAAATTTCATTATTTATTTTGCAAATAAATTAGTAAAATTTTACTTTTTTATTTTCTACATTTTCTCTTTTTTTTTTTTTTTTTTTTTTTAACTTTACTAACATTTTTTTAGCGCTCATATTATTCTTAATATTTAAAAAATAATTCAATTATATAAAATGAAATATACTTTATTCCTTTCTGGAATTTAAAATTTCTTTTCCTCTCATCAATAATTCACAATTAATTCATTTTATCTCATTCATTCATTCCTTCCTTTCTTCTCTTACAGTAATTTCAAGTGTATAAATGTAATTTTGCAATGTTCAGCAATTAATATAATTAATTAATTAATTAATTCTTTTCCACTTTTTATCCATTTTCTTGAAACATTTTCAAAAATTTAAATTTTAATTATTTTAAAAATAAAAAAAAAAAAAAAAGAAAAACTTACAACATTTGTATAGGGTGACATTCGTATATATGCAAATATGTAATCATAGAGGAGCACATCCTGAAGGCAAAGATCGTAGATTGCAATTAACATTGGAATTATAAAACAAGTGAGAATGATTACTGTTAATGTTTTAATACTTAAATCACAGTTATGACATACTAGTAGCCATTGATCGATGGCTAATACAGGAAAGAGGAAATAGATGACGTACGTGGTATTGTAAATAACCGTACGTAAAAAGCTACAGAGGAATAGACTGAGTTTAATATTACCAAAGAGCATAATTAAATAGACTGAATTAAGCATCAAAAATCCAAAAAGACCATACAAATTGGCAATTGTCATGCCTAATGTTGGATATTTGACACGTGCCGAAATTAGACGTTTTTTAAGGCCCATATAAGCTAGTAGAATATTTGGTGGTACAGCTAAGCAATACAGTGTAATATAAATGATTGAATTAGGCAGATATGATTCCAATACAGGCACTTGATCATTTAGGTCTGATGTATTCTCAACTTTTTTGTAAAATGACATCCTGAAAATTTTGAGAATTTTTATCAAATAAATGATTCATTTATGAATTAAACAAATACATTAAGCATATTTACAAAAATTTAGTGCTAATGAAATATGCAAAAAAAAAAAAAAAAAAAAGAAAAATGATTATTTCTACTTTTACTCATTTGCAATAAGCTTAATTAAATTGTTTCAGCGAGTAGCAAAGAAATTGTTAACAAAATGGAAAAAGAAATAATTAATATTACTAATTTAATATAATTGAATTTAAGTTAAGTATATTATATACGTTTCAATTCTTCATGCAATGCAAAAAGGATTAAGCAAATTAGTGAATTAATTAAAGATTCAATTTATGATTATAACTATTAAAGTAACAAAATATAATGAATGAATTAACAAATTAAAAATTCAAAGATTCGTATGAAAGGAGAATGTTTTGTTTAAATGCTAATTATCACAATAATTTAATTATTATTATGCTTAACATTTATGCTTAAATTACTTTCTTAATTAGTTAATTAAAATATAGCAAAATTATTGTTCGAGAATTTTCAAATAATTTATAAAATTACTTAAAATTATAATTTTTATTTCACTATGTTCTTATTGCTTAAATGATAAATTTTTACTTGACAATATTTTTTTCATAGATATATGCAAGTTTTTTATTTTGTGATAAATTTAGAATGATAAATTCTACCATAATTTATCACTAATTATCTGTTTCTAATTAATTATTTAAGTTCATAATTCATAGTTCTGAGCTTTAACAAATAGCTATAATTCATATAAACAATGTCATATTTAAATGGACTGATAACAATAGCAATCAATTAGCAATTAATATTATTGTAATATCGTATAATTACTCTTTCTGCCATAGAGTAATTAATTTTATAAAATTTTATAATGAAAAAATGAAATGGTTGTATACTTGAAGAATGGAATGATAAGCACTGATTGATTGATTGATTGATTGATTAATCAGAAAAATTCAATAATATCTTAATATAATAACTATTCACAGTTTAATAGTATTCTTAGAATAATACTGAGCTATTTTATGATTCCATCACTCTAAATTTACAGAAAAATTCTATGATTATACGATTATGGAAAACTTTCATGATATCACGATTATGATATGATTCCATGATTCTACAGCTTTGCAATTATGGATAATAAGAGAAGATATTATGACTATGAGAAGATACTATTAGCTTATGATTATGGATAGAGTTTATGATACTACAATTGTGAGAAGATTCTACAATTCTACGATTCTAGGATTATGGTTGATGATAAGATTTTACCAGCATGGAAAACTACGATTATATAATACGACGAATTATAAGAATAATACATGATACTATGATTATGAAAAAATTCCATGATACTGCGATTATGAGAAGATTCCATTATAATTATAAAATGATTCAATGATATTACAATTACGAGAAGATTCTATGATATTATGATTGTAAGAACAGAACAATCTATGATATTGCGATTATGATTTGATTGTTACGATTTCATGATTATAAAATGATTATAAAATGAAAGTAAATGACAGTCAGTAAAATATCTATCAATTGCTAATGTTTACCATAAGATTTTTTTTTTTTTTTTGAAGCTTATTGCTTAAAATTTGCTCAGTCATGCAAAAGACTTTATTTTTTTTTTTTACTATGAAATTTAATAAAATCAATGTATTTGTATTCATGGCGCAAATAACATAAATGTGCATTGAACAGGAAATGCAGATAGCGCCCAGCATAAAGCATCATGTTGATAATAGTGAATTTATGACATTAAGCTTAGTTGTTAGCATTATTAGCATTATTTTTTAATCCATAAAAAATCAAATTCATGGTACCAAATAAGCCCATCGTTTGGTTTTATTTGCAAAAGTTCTCTTTTTTTTTTTTACAAATTTTAACAAATATTCAATAATTTATATCTTATAGAAATTTTTTTTAAAAAAAAAACACGAAGTATTTTAATATTTTAAAGAACAAAAAAAAAAAAAAAAAAAACATTTTATCAAAATGTTTTTTAACTCTCTATTGAAAACATTTGATTTAATTTTAATTATTATCACTAACTAATATATTAACAACAAACGCTTTTACTCGTTGTCAAAGAAAGAAGAAAAAAATAGAAATTGAATTTCTTATCAAAAATAGTTAACAAAAACTTAAATATAAAAAAAAAAAAAAAAAAACAAAAAAGGAAACACAAAAAAAGACTTTAAAACTTATTTATTTTTTTTTTTACAATTAATAATTGATATTTCATTCAAATATTCTTATTCTTTCTTCAAATGACAACAATGATAGCATTATATTATCATATTATATAATTATATTTTATAAAAAATTGTAATTTTGATTAATTAAATAGTTTTCATTTTCAATAAGTTCGTGCGTTTTTTTCATTTATTAAATTGAAATAGAAATTTCTTAATGATTTCTTTTAAATTTTTCTTTCGTTTCTTTAATAAAAATAGTCACTGATGTTTGAAAGTGATATCAAATATATTTGGTGACAAATGAAAAATATCATTTGCAATGATGTCAGCATAATCGTATCATTTAAAGTGATTTAAGCTTATTTAATCAAATAACTAGGCTTATTAGACGTCATCATTACTAGGCTAATAAGCTTAGCATACTTAAGCAAATGATTACATATAATACCGATTGATGCATGCAGTTATATTTGATTAAATAAGCTTAAATCAATAAAAAATGCTAGATTTTTGAAAAAATTCAAATTTGAAAAAAAACTCAAAATAAGCCAAAAAAAAAACAAAATAAAAACTAATAATTTAATATTTTTTTAATACAAAATGATGAATCAAATAGATTTACATATCTATTACTTATCTATAAAATGCATAAATAAAATTTTTATAAATAAAATTAATGCTATTTAAGTTGCTAACTAGTTTATTAATTTATCAAAAATACTTTTAAAATTGTGTAACATTTGAATAGCTTCGACAAATTAATTAAGCAATAATTAATTTTATTTTATTTCAACAATTTAATTGACATTTAATTTAAAAAGTAAGCGATTTTTTTTTCTTTCCTTATTTTTTCCTTTTCCTTTCTGTCCATAAATTTTTAAACGATTTTATTTGCTTATTTATTTGTTTGTTTTTTTTTTTTTTTTTTGTTTTTGAAATCTATTTAATAAAGCATTAAAATATTGGCACTTATGAACTAGAATGAGTGCATGGTGAAATTTTTATTACTGAAAGTTTTTATGACTAAAAGTTTTTATTACTAAAAAAACAAAATTTTTATTTTTAACCAATTTTTTGTTTATTATTGAAAAATGTTGAAAATTATAAAATTTTGGCTTATTTTCAGCGTAATTTATGAAAATTCAGGGTGGTAATTTTAGCTTCCAAAGTAAGCAACAAAAAGAAAAAAAAAATATGTGAATGTGCCATATTTAATAGTACAAATATTTTAATAAATAAGCAATAATTAAGAGTTAGAATTATTGGCATTTTTGAAGTGATTAGAATAAAAAAAAAAAAAAAACGATTGAAATGATAATAAAATACTGTTAAATGATTTGATAAATTTCAGAAGTAAAAGTATAATTAGCCAATTAATTTTAGAAATAATTACAATTTGTTGTCAAAAGAAACAGATGCAAAGATAAAGTTAAATTGATATCAAATTATTGAAAGAAATTAATTTAAGGTTAAATGAGGGTTAAATATTTGATTGCAAAAATTTGTTTGATAATAACAAAAAATAAGAAATTTGATGCAAATTAGAACGGTTAAACAAAACAAATGCATTTTATTTGTTCAAAATTTTATTACAAAATTTTATACTTTTAACTTTTGCATAAGAAAATTATTACATTTGAAATTTGATATTAGCATTCTAAATGTTATCAGATGCTAGTCAATAAAATTTTTATTGACTGACCAATGATCAATTTAAATTAATTGATCACAAATTTGGATAAAAAATTAATGGAAAAAGTTTTTCTATTGTTTTAAAATGAAAGGAAAAAGATTTTTACTGAAATATTATTTCAGAAAATTTCATACTGTTCTAATGATTTACAGTCATAACTTTAAGCACTTCAATAAATTGCAGTCATTTTGTTGAAATTCAATAATTTACTTGAAAAATGAAATAATAAAATAAAATTTTTATTATCATTTTTTGAAAATATTAGCAAAAAAAATATTTCTTGCATAGCTTAAATCAATTATTGAATACAAATAAACAACAAAAATTTACATTTTAATGATTTCATCAAAATTTACTTAATTTTAATTGCAAATTTTAATTTTAACTTTGCAAACTTTTAATATAATAGTGATTGTTATTGATAGAACTGATAAATCTTAGATAAGTTTATCAAATATTATCAAAAAAAAAAAAAATACTATTAAATGTTTCTTAATTTATCTGTCTAATAGCACTAATAAATGAAGTTGAAATAACAGTTACCATTTTGAAAAACGATCAAATGGCAAAGTTTGAATTAAATATGGAAAAGTTATATTTCTCTTTCTGTCTCTTTCTTTTTCTGCTTTTAAATTTGAATTTGATCTCTCTCTCTCTCTCTCTCTCTCGAGAGAGAGAGAGAGAGAGAAAGGAAGAAAAAAAAAGATGTTACAATATTTGAATCGATAGCTAATTAAATTTAAACAATACATTTGCTAATTTTCAATCAATTATCATTAATTAAATTTTAACACTACATTTACTTTTTATTTTTTATTTGTTTGATAAAAGTATTTAAAAAAAAAAAAACAAAAAAACAAAAAAAAAAACAAAAAAAAAAGGAAAACGAATGGTTTATGTAAATGTAACAAAAAAAGTAAAACTCAAATGACATTTTAAAACATTTTTGTTAAGCAAAAGGGATTAAATTCAAATGACAGCAATATAAACAGATCAAATTAAAACACAAACAAATTAAATTAAATCTTAAAATATATATATATAAACCAATATATGAATTTCACTTGTTTA